TGTGTGTGTGTGTGTGTGTGTGTGTGTGTGTTTATGTGTGCCTCTCGTATACACATTTCCGAAGAGGAATAAACATGTGGGTGTAGTATAAGAAAAAGCGTTGGTACATCCAGTTGGTACAACGAAAGGGGTCGCTCGTAATGATGAACCTACAGAGACTTTCAGCTCATTGTTTAGCTGTCTGGTAAGTGTTTTTCATGTTCCCCTGTCAATGATACTCGCTAAATTAAAAGTGATATCTGAACATGAGAAATACGTTTCTCTTTTCACCTATACTTTTGAACATGTGCCCTGTTTTCATCTAGTATCGGTCTTTAAGTCATCCACCACTTGCATACGTGCAACCATCAAATGGTTAAAGTCAAAAGTGTTCAAATTCAAATGTCTAATTTGTTTGTCTTTGTTTGGAGAGAGCCGTTTTTCTCTGGCAGAGCCAGAAGTATATGTGGGACACAAAGTGAAGGGCTCTTCATTTGCCTTGGCTGCAGCCGTGCTCTCCTGTGCAGCTGTCCCAGCCTCCAGCAGTCATTTGCGTCTCCACGCTGTGCTGTGATGGACAGGTGGAGGCCTCTCATGGCGGCATCAATGCATGGTTCCAGGGCCCTTAGTGGCGGAGGCCATAGCGTATACTCAGTGATGCCAAACGTGTACATGTACACTTCAACAGGAAGACTCAGTTTGTGTGCACGCTGAGTCGCAATGTGAGAGTAGAAAGAGTATACAAAATGTATGAAAAATGTACTAAAAACTAACAGTAATACCCTCAAGCTCTGTATTGGTCTCTTCTAACTCTTGTTGGAAATATACGTGTCTGTTTCGTTGCTAAATGTTCAAGCTAGTCGCTAATCTGGTCTTTTTGCTTTTTGGTGCAAGGCAGGTAGAGTACAGTTGGTTTATGATTGTGTTGTTGTTGAAAACAAAAATGAGCGACGAGAGTGAACAGTAAAGTCTTGGGCTGGAAAACCAAAACAATGAGCTGAAAAATGATTAAAAAGCTCCAGAGATCTGAAGGCAACTTTTGATTTGAATGTCATGTGGGTTTGACTTCATGGGGAGTGTCATTTCATCCATTGTTAATATAAAAATAGTGATTAGAGCAGTTTTAGTGTAAAAAAACAAGCAATTAAAAGAATCATTGTAAGATTTGTATTCACTAAGTATAAATACTGATTTTGAGTGAAAGTTTGTTTTCTTTCTTAACGACAACACAAACCATTTGGCACGAATTAAGAATCATTTAAGTCTCAAAAGCACATCAACTGGTTTTAAAATGTTCTTGATAACAATTATTGACAGTAGAGTCATCTCTCAGCAGCATAACTCATATTTGAATCCACTTGCACGAACACTGAGATAAAAGGCTCATGAACAAATATTAACATTAAATGCTGTTCGAGTGCCAAAATGTGAGGCATAAGCAAACTATGGCAACTATGAGCCTGAGCTCCCATAACAATAACTACCTGAGAAATTACTCACCGCTAATTGTTCGTTGCCATGAAGCATAAGAAACTGCCTTAAGTAAAGGGTGAGGTCCATCACATCTGTCAGAAGTTGAAGTAAAGAAACCACATAATCAAACACATTATTACAGTCAGTTGGATTAGAGTGCATTCATTTATTAAAATATTCCCAGTGTTTTTATTGTGTCTTAACACCACAAATGTACTCTTTAACCTTTAAACCAGTTTATCCTATTCCCTGGGTCTAAATTGAGTTTAGTCTTGTTTTATTTCTTTCCATGCACATATATTTATCAATGCTTGTATGCATAAGCTTATATATGTCTTGCTTTTAAAATGCTATATACATTAAATGAAATAAATACAAAATAAAAACATACTCTTTAAGACAGAATGAAATTTGTATTGATTGTAAATGCAATAAATGCACTTATTCGAATAACACAGAAACTGCTCTTTAAACACTTGTTATTATTCCTAATTTCTATCATACTTTGTACTGTGTGTGTCATATATTTGCACTTTCTACTGTCTTCTTTGATTTATTGTTTTTACTGTATGTTCATTGTTTTAATGATACTTTGCAGCAGAATTTCCTTTTTTAGAGCAATAAAGATCTGCACACACGTTGGGGAAAAAAATCTGAGAAATCAACATCTATTTTAATTGATTAATTCTATCAATTTCAGATAAAGTTGTTATCTTTTTGAAAAATGTTGCATCTAATAACCACTTCATAAACTTTACATATGTACAGATGTATATTTACATCGTTTTAAATTAGATTTTAGGAATATTTAGATAAGGGAACCAAATTGAAAATCCACACTCCCATTGTTTTAAGATTCCAGCCTATGATAGTATTAACGTTAGGGCTGCAACTAATGATTATTTTCTTTATATATGTTGATTATTCATTTAATTAATTGCTTAGGTGACATATGTCCAACACAATTTTCCAGATCCCTTATGACATCTTTGCAAATTCAAAATGTTTTTAAATTTACAATGATATAAAATCTTCACATTTAAGCTGAAACTATACAATCTTTGCTTGATAAAAGACTTAAACAATAATCAAAACCGATTTATTTTCTGTCCATCAACTAATCGATTGATCAACTAATGATATCAGCATAAATGTACATGTATTTACATTTTGGCTGTATAATAATAAAATATTTCTGGGATCCAGTAGCTTGTGTATCCGCCTCTCCTTTAACTGACAGAGGTGTCAATCAGCTTTGCATGCCCTATGTGTGCTCACGCACACACACACACGCACACACACGCACACACACACACACAAAGCCTGCTGCAATATATACATGTAATGCATAAAAATGTAAATCAAGCAGTAACAAAAGAATCAGAAAATAGTTTGTCTGTGCGCTATAAAGAGAAGTGCATGCTGGATCATCTACAATAAAAACAGGATGGTAAGGATCAGTATCAATCACAGATTAAGGTAATACAAACATATTCTAAATTCAAATAACTCTACACCGTCAGCTAAACATAGTGTCTTATAGCCTTACCCCCATGACAGATATCATATCAATAATTGCACAATTCTGCAACTGTAACTTTCTAATGAATGTCTCTCTCATTATCTGATAGTAATCTTATCATAATTCCATTCCATTATCCAAACCGCTCATCCTATTGGCCAGTTTATCGCAGGGAGATAAACAGACAAACATTCACGCTCACATTCACGCTCACATTCACACCTACGGGCAATTTTGAGTCTCCAAATATCCTAAGCTGCATGTCTTTGGACTGTGGGAGGAAGCCGGAGATCCCGGAGGGAACCCACGCTGCCACGGGGAGAACGTGCAAACTCCACACAGAAGAACTGCCCGGATCAGGCATCGAACCCGGGCCCCCTTTTCTGTGAGGTGACAGTGCCTACACCACCGTGCAGCCCTCTCATCATAATATATAATAATAATCAAATAAAGGAATAAATACGGACAGATAATAAAGATATCTAAGATAATTGAGAATTAAGATTTAAGATATTCCTAAATACCTGGATATTTCAGAGTGTAAATTTAAATTGTCGTGCAATTTTAACTGTTATTTATACATCTATGTATATTTATAACAACTGGCTTACATTTTTTTCTTTAGTTTTTCCCCGTTTTTAGGAAGATGCACAATCTTGGAATGACCAGACTTTGTTTTGTTGTTTGCAAGTATAATTACAAAGTTGAATTCAAACTAACAGGTGTATGTGCTCTCTCATGTTAACCCATCATACACCTCACCCCATCTTATAACAGGATGCTGCGGGTCCAGCCCAGGAAAGCCACGGGACTAAACCTTTCATCAGGCTGTTTGTCTGAGCAAAACCACGCTCCCGCTCTGACACATGCCCGCAGTGCTAACCCAGCCTGGTGATGAGCGGTGGGAGTGTGCTGCCGTGTTTTTCCTCTGTGTTTGTTTGAAAGATTAAGGGGGTGAACCCATAGCCTTGTGGAGTCGCCGGACTTCATACGACCTGAGCTGCTCAGATTGTCAGCATTGTCTCCAACACTGCTGCCGGTGAAATTGAATAGTGTTTAAAGTCAGCTTAAAAGCAGATCTTTTACAGATTAGATTGTCCAAGAATGGGCTTGGTCATTTAAAATCGCATGAATCATCACTTAAAAATAAGACTAATGGAGAGAAAAAACGTCGAACACATGTCCAGCACATATTATCACCAATTCCTTGAAGATATTAAGAATCAAAATGTTGAGAGTTTGTTATTCTCCTCTCTCAGGTTGCGTCCAGGGATTGTGATGATGGCCTATATTTTGCATGCTGAAATCACAGGACGGCCTTTGTCTGGAAAACATTTACATCTCTTAACACAGCTGGCTCGACCAACCACTGGCGCAAAAACAACAAGGAAGCAAGGTAGAAAAACAACAGGTAGGTTTAGTTACCACTAAAGAGATCTTTCAGTGTTAAACGTCAAAACAACATGGACCATTTTGGACTTTTTAAAATAAACTGAGGTTGACTTTAAAGGGAAATTTGAATATCAAGAGGAAACAATGTTTGTTTGGACAGTTTTGGTCGATGAAACTAAAAAAGGCCTTGCATAGAATAAATATGAAGTAAATAGATCAAATGCAATCAAAAGTGAACACTGAATATTCTGTCTTTAGTTTTTAAGGAACAACAGTTAAAACTTAGTAAAACACAATTCGAAAAGTAGAACTTGACTTGGATGCTAGATATTTTTTGCCATTTAAGGACATCAGAAATTTATTCCATTAAAATACATAAAAATCCTTTAAAAATATAAATTTACACCACAAAGTATGCAGACGTTGTCGAATGTGAACAATAGACCCTTACAGAGCTCAGGTATCTCAAGAGCATGTGATGCCTATGGGGGGTGTGGCCCGTCAGCTGCTCCGTAGAGATAATACACTCCAACGCTAAATGACTCATTCTCACACACACCTTAAACATCATGCAAGGTGCTCTCAAACCTTAACTCTTCAACTTCACCTGACAACAAACTGGGAATAAGCTAAATGAGCACAGCACTTCGGTTCTCTTTTAAAAAGCTAATTACTTTCACTGCATTTGAAGAACTGCTGTATTTTGGACTTAAAGACATTGAGTTGTTATCTACAATTGTGATCTTTCTACCGGGATTGTGTGCTGGGCTGATCTCTTGATTTGATTTCCACCGTGCAGGATTTAAACAGAGGGAACTTCATCTGAACTGTGGAAGTACTAATACAGTGCAGCATTTGCAGTTCACTTTATACTCTGTCTTTTAAGGGACATGACAATGCCGGTGGTCAAAGTGGAGAAAGACTCTCAAGCAGACAACACCTTGTTGGCCTCCAACCCTCCACTGCAGTCAGAGGAGCAGCCCAGAGGTCGGAGAAGGAAGAGACCTCTCCAGCGAGGGAAACCCCCTTACAGCTACATCGCACTCATTTCCATGGCCATCGCCAACTCCCCGGACCACAAGTTGACTTTGGGGGGAATCTACAAGTTCATCACAGAGCGCTTCCCCTTCTACAGAGAGAATTCAAAAAAATGGCAGAACTCCATCCGTCATAATTTGACTCTCAATGATTGCTTTATCAAGATCCCCAGAGAGCCGGGTCGACCAGGGAAGGGCAACTACTGGGCCTTGGACCCGAACGCAGAGGACATGTTTGAGAGCGGCAGCTTCCTGAGGCGCAGGAAGAGGTTTAAGCGCTGTGACTTGAGCACTTACACCGCATATGTCCATGAGACACCAGTTTTCTCTCCAGTCCAGATTGCCAGATCATCCGCATATACCAACTCAGTCTACAACAACATGACAGTCAGTCCGGCCTACGGGCAGCAGCTGACCTCTGCATATTACCCCTCTTCCTCTCCTCCCGGGTTTGGACCTGGTCAGACCCGCATGTTCAGCATCAATAACCTCATAGGACACCAGAGTCCAGCCAGCATGCTGGGATGTCAAGGGCCGGAGGTGATGCAGCAGCCCGGACAGAGCTTCAGTCCCGAGGGGATCCCAAACGGATCCAGTCCCTGCAGCCTGGGAGCCCCAGCTTTCCAGAGCCAACCATGTGGAGGGTCCGTATCTTCACGCTCCTCTACACATCCCGGGTTCACCTACCCCGGGCCACACGGCCACCCACACCACCATACACACCAGGGCTCGTATGGACAGGGCCACCACACCCAGGGGTATGCAGCGACGGGACGCCTCCATTCCTCAGCCCACGGGTCTGTGGAGGCCGTGGACCATTACGGCAGGGTCTCCCCAGTGCATTTGGGCTCTTTCTCCCAGTATAACAGTGCTGCAGGTCCTATCGCCAACACTGGGGGCTATCTGAGACACCCAACGTACCCAGGGAATATGGACAGGTTTGTGTCTGCTATCTGAGCTACTGAGAATCTAGATCCGAGCATCTCACTACCTTGTTAACAGAACATCAGAGACTTGAGACGGCACCCAGTGAGCCAGACATTTCTGTACGCAAATGTGATTGTTTTTCTTTGTACATGACATTTGATAAGGACAAAACTGAAAAGACTGATTAAAAAAACCCTCTCCTGACACAACTGTGATTCACCACATTAACACACACTACAGCCCATTTTCTATATCGTTGATGGTAATTTACTTTGATATGCACACTATGAATTTGGATTTTAATGTCAAGGCCTCCTCGCAGCATGAGAGTGTAACGATCGTCTAATATCTTGTGTGGCTGCAAGCTTCTTTTTGTGTCATGAATTAAATGTGCAAGTTTAATATCTGCAACACTAGTGAGTTTAAATGATAGACTTTGAATTATTAGTATAAATTATTATGCTTCATGGTCATTTGCAATAAGTGGCTTGTATGAAGAACGTCAGCTTTAGCACATTTGCATGTAATGTAATGCATATTAGGTTGCCTTTTTGGAAATAAACTGAATTATATAGCACTTTGGTTCTTCAAGAATAAAATATTTAAAATATTGATGTATTATTGCTGTTACAATTTAAGCATGTGTGCCAAAATATTACACCAGAATTGGGGAAAATGTGGTTTGCCACATATTTAATCTATATCAGTTATATTTGCAATAGTTTAAAAAAATAAAATACATTTTAAAGGACGAACAAATCAAGACATTTGTCTCCAGGAACAGAAAAAAAAATGCCCTCACACATCTTTTTCTTTTGTGCTCACGTTTGTTTTCTTCACCGTTTCAGCTCAGCTGGTTTGAAGTGTTGTCTGGAGCCACAGTATTATCAGTCACCGTGACCGGCCTCAATTATCATGTCGAGACACCAACACAGCACTTAGACAGACGGACAGTTAATCTACCACACAGATCCACTAATCAAGAAAATGAATTGACTTGTAACTCGATATTTCAGCCTATAAAGTGAAGTAGTGGGAATCCTTTATCTCAACAAGCGAGACCTCCCTTACACAAAGTCTACATATCTGACAAGACGAGACTCGTAAGGAAACGCTTCATTATTGTGAAGACACTTGATTTTCCTATCAGAAAAGAAGCCTTGTTGATAGATGTGTGTGGGGGGGTTCCCATAGTTGAAAGGGTCCTAGTTTTGTGCCACTGAATCTCAAAATCTATGTGGATTAAATGAGGATGGCAGTAATCAGCAAGTGTCAAATTATAATTTCAGAAGGACAATGATATAATTATTAACATAAAAGCAACAAGGCTGATAAGCAATGCAGATGTGTTTGATAAACACCAGCCTGAGTGATGGTCTAAATGGTAGCCTCGAAAGAATTAGGTTGATAGTCACACAGTGCCATTATCTGATACTATAAAAGTATACAAGCAATATCTCAAACAAAGAGTATAGCGATTTAAACAAACTCAGGTATAGTCTATGGCATAATAAAAAATAGCAATAGAAAATTTAATTAAGATATCGACCTATCCATCCACATTTGAAGATAAACTCAAACACTATGAAGGCACCCGTGCCAAAGGTTACTGGTCATTGCTGAACTTTTTTGGGGTGGGGGGGAAATTAAACACACACATATATATATATATATATATATATATTTAAACAGTGTTAGTGCAGTGGTTTTCTTTGCAAATTAAATATATATTTAATTATCGAAGACAGCAGGCGGTCACGACAAATCTTCTGAATGAAGTTCTGTATTTTGCATATTGCTCATCGGAAGCAAGAACCAAACACGATAATCTGAAGGGTGAGTGATCCCGGTATCAGTACTACGTTAAACCAATCATCTGATGGAATTAAATACTGGGCCAAGATATTAAACTCATCAACTGCAAATGCAGTAAATTAAAACAAAATACAAAACCAGGTGAAGAACACACAAGTTTAACACCTGACACAGGTAAAAAAAAACAAAAAAAAAAAAAAACTTGTGTCATGTGTCTTGTGTGCGCTTTTAAGTTTTAAATGTTTGCGGACACAACGTAGACAAACATTGTTCACCCTTTTTTTTTTTTTTTTATTCCATTAATGCAAGTGTGTCCATCGGAAATATAAGGAGCAAAGACAATCCATAAGATCATTTTCTTTTATTTAAATCATACTAAAAATAGAAACACTCATAGCGAGGACAAGGTAAAACAATACGGACATAAATACAATGAACACGGGTGACAATAACAAAAACATGTCAGCCGATGTATTCAACAAGCTGTTGGAGTTTTTCACAATTCTTCACCACCACCGGCAAAGACAGCAGAGTCTGTGTGGAGGAAATGAAAACCATCAGTACCTCAAATATTCACACAGAAATTCAGCATTTATAGGACAGTACACAGTATAGTCTTGAACAGAAGGCGGCACAGAAGCAACATATAAAGCGTCTCTCACCTCTCTGACTTTATTGAGGAGTTTGTTTAACATCTGAAGCTCATTCTCACTTTTCTGCTGGTTGGTCTGGTGGATGATTTGCTGTGAGAGACATTACAACATCATGAACACACTGGATTACATCCTCATATCTATGACACTTCTTCAGCTCTTTTATAACATATGAAGATACTCTTAATTTAGACCAAGAAGTTAAACAAAGATGCCGGTATGTAGTGAGCAATATCAGTAGCTACTACAGTAGCTCAAGCTGATACTTACATGTCTTTTTGCTCTTTCAAGGAGTTTAACTCTGGCCTGCTCCAGCTCTTGAAGACTCAACTTCAGTTTTTCTACCTAAAGATAAAACAACAAACATATAATCGCTTAATTATTAACAAAAAATAAAATAAAATAAAATATATATATATATATATATATATATATATATATTTTTTAGCTATACTTTCACACTATAAGTGACTGGAACATACCTCTCTCAATGACTGGATCTTCTCTTCCATGAAATGTGCTGGGTTAGCTGATTGGGTACCAGCTTTTCTCAACTCCTCACGCAGAAATTGAGACTCCACCTTCGACTGATGGACAGACCGACGAAGCTCAACCACCTCCTTCCGCAATTCCTGTAAAAGATGAACAAATAAAAAGTGTCACATTTGGCCAACTGTATTGGGATTGTTTGTTAAATCATAGATATGGATTTTGTGCCTTACGTTGCTGTCAATCTTGTGTTTATTTAGATATTCCTGGGTCTCTTGTATTTCCGCCATCAGCTTTGTCACAGTTTTCTCATCCTATGTAAAGACAAACATTTTTAAAGACGCATATCAGTGGTCCTTCAGCTCGACAAGATAATTCCCATTAGTCGGCGCTCTTTTCAAACCCATTTTGCATTTTGTTAGGCATCATAGATGAAGTCAACACCATGTACAGTAGTTGTTACCTGAGCTTTCTGCTGCAGCGCCTGATTTCCTCTCTCTAACAGGCGGTTCAGACCACTGAGTTGACGCTTCAGCTCAAACACCTCGGCATCGTGTCTGCTGTTTGCAGCCTGCTGCTCCACCTGCAGGCCAGAGCTGGAACAATGCATTAGATCATGTTGGAACAGAAGGACAACAAATAGATTCCAGTATGAGAAAAAGGCCGTCCTTATTTCATCACCACACATTTCACAGCACTTACATGGTGTTGTGCCGCTCCTCCAGCTGGGCATCTTTACGCTGTTGCAGCAGCTTCAGGGTGCCGACGAGCTCCGAGACAGTGCTGCCCAGGTCAGCGAACAGCTCGGCCACGCTGCTCTGCTCGTCCTCGGGCTCAAACTCCACCGGGTTCAAATTATTTTTCGGGGTGACGGCTGCTCGTGTGAAGGCGCTCGTCTCACTGAACAAAGCTCCACACTGTGGCCCGGGCGAGTCTGAGGGGACAGCGAACTACAACTTAGATTTGTGATTGCCATAAGTTGACATTTAGGCCCCATTTGAACAGTATTCCAGATGTTTAATTAGATGTAGATGCACAATTTTGAATTTCCTTCAGTTATTGTCCCTGTAACTAAGATGCCATCTCTGCAAATCAATAACAGTTTCAAAATTACTTAACTTAACCCTGCTTCACATGATGATATTTTTACCCTCTTTAATAAAAGGGGATGGGTCTGTAGAACACACATTCAACCCATGTTTGAGCCATTCAAATCAAACAGCTGTCACAGTGGAATCTGAGTGTCACTGTTCAGAGACACTTGTTTGCAGCTGCTAAAGAATACAACTGCATTGCACCATATTAACTCTCGTGCCCAAAAGAAACAGATGTTCACCAAAGCAGTACAATTCTGCAACCGGAGTTTGACCGAGGTTGGGAGGAGGATCATGGAGCACGGTTGGATGATGCACCTTGAACCATTCAGACTGACCACCAGCATCGGTTTAACCGGCATCAATGTGTCGGTCAGAAAGTTGCTAATTGTGATCACGGTTTAAAAACAAACAGAAGCTAAATAACTGTCTGCTTTATAAGCAAATAAAATGAAGTTTCATTCTTTCATTCTAAAGATCCGAGCCAGCCTTTTTTAGGGTATCAGCTTCGCTTCAAGTCACATGCGGGGTGAGCTACGGCACCTGATCCAGGAGGTGCGTCTGTTGTGACGTCTTCCTCCTTCTCAGCAGTTAATGCAACCATGATGCTGTCGACAAAGGAGCTGGAGGGGTAACGACGTTCCACATTGGGGAGTAGTTGAGACTCCTTCTGTGGTTCTGGTTTCTGAAAACACACAAGCCTGTATGAAAAAAACGTACCACTTACCTGCAACTCTTTTCAGTATTTTTCTTAATTTTGTAAACTGTGAAGTTTGACACCAAAGGTAAAGAGAACTGAAGAGTCTCTCTCTTAAATGAACTTGAACACAACTAGTGCAGCAGTCAACTAGAAGTACAGTTATAGCCTTGCATATAAGCCTTGACAGGTATGAAAGTGAGACAAAAGGTGGTGAAATCAGGCAGTTCTTATGAGTTACCTGGTCATTGAGAGCTGTATGTAGTTCATTGGTCAGTCCTCGCAGTGTGTGATGCAACAAAGTAATTTCAGTGACCGCCTGAGACAGTTTCTGTCCAAGCTCCAGCTGCGTGGCATCGGCTCTGGACCTCGTAGTTTCCAACTCCTCCTGCAAACTCCTATTCTCAAACCTACGTCACACATACGCAGACAGACAAGTTATCATTTAGCACACAGACAAAATGTGAGACAAGTTGAGTTTGTTGTAAGATTAGCACCAGATTTGTTCAAGTTTAACATATTGGCTGATACCTACATTAAGGCACAAATAACTTAGAAGGCAAAAGCAAATACAAAGGTTTTTGTTCTGAACCGAAAGCAGTGGCGTTGTCAACCCAACAAATGCAACCTGCTTAATCTAATCCACATTCCTCCCTATTCTTCTTCTATGATCGTTACGTGGGTGTCGTTAACTTGAACTTACTGAAGTTGGCTACGTTCTCCTTTTAGGTCCTCACACTGGATGTTCCTCTCTCTGAGGCCCTGCAGGTTGGCCCTCAGCATACGCTCACTCTCCGCCATCTGCTCCCTCGCAAACTCATTCTCCATCTGTAAGAACTGACACACACACACACACACACACACACACACACACACACACACACACACCAGAAAATCAAACAAATGAAGTCACATACTACGACGACAGCATCTTACTTGGAAGTCAGCTTCATGTTGGCTCATGGCACAAGTGTATAAGGAGTAAGAGCAAGACTACAAGCAGACCGGGTATATAAACTTAAATAAATTATGTAATGCTTTGAATCACAGAAACATTCCAACCATGTGAGTGTAAAGAATATAAATCCCAAAGCTAACCTCGTTCATCTCGCGCACACCACTGAGCTGTGTGCAAACTTCCTGGAGCTGCTGGATCTGCATCTCCTGGGACTGTGAGAGGACCCGCAGCTGATCGAGCTGCTCCTCGCTTTGAGCCAGAGCCTGACTGAACTCAGACGCACGCTGCTCCGACTGACCCAGTGACATCTCCAGCCTGCAAACAAGCACAGACAGCACACAGGCAGGGGGGCATCAGCTGCAGTGTTTTAGGTGACACTTGTAGATGTGTGGCAGTGAGCAAGGTTTGCTCTCAGAGAACAATGTTACCCATTCCTTCCATCTTCATTTAAAATACAGTACTTGTCTCTTTATATACTGCATATGGACAACTGTGAGGACGACGTTTTAGCAGCAGAAGGTTCGCTACATACGAAACAGAGTTTATGAAAACAGAAAGAAGTGCCAATACATCATTTTACTGAATGGGCCTATGGAAGTTAAGAAGCAGTCTGTGACACGGTTTTTACTGTTGGTTTTAACTGGTATAAACTTTTCCTCAATCATGTTTGTCTTTGCTCAACATTTCATATTAAACCATTTAGCCATTACAACCTGAAAGTCATTATGTCATCTCTGATGAGTAGAAATATTTATTGTCGCCACTTACTCATTTGCTCTGTCCTTGGCTAGCTGGATGTCCTTCCATGACTGCTGCAACCTGAAACAACAACATTTTCAGGCCCCATGTTGCATTTCATTGAGTTTTTTGTTTTTAGCATTCAGTGTGCGTTTTCTTTTATATTCCAGAGCATGTCATCAACACATTTGAGTTGTTGGAGGGTCATACTTTGTAGTCTCAGCAGCAAGGGCCTTCTCCAGGAAGGTGTAGGAGGCCAAAGTTGAGGAAACTGTGGCAGACAGCTCCGTCGCCTTCCTCTCCAGCAGACCCTGCTCTTCCTCTCTTTCCATCAGCTTCTGACGAAGAACACCCATTTCTGAAATTCAACGAAAAGAAAAGACATGTAAGCAACTCTATAGGCTGATAAAGAAGAAAACGTTGCTGAAAACAGTTTGCAAAAAGAGAAGAAATGAAGTAACCAAAGCGAGTTTTTACCTGAGGTCAGGATCGTCACCTGCAGATTTAAATCACGAATCTCTTCCGTGGCAGTTTGGAGATTCATATTAGCTTGTTGAAATTCCTCTTCAATCTGTGGAGTACAAGTTAATTTACATTTTTTTTTTTTTTTTTTTTTAAATCATCTTAATGATTTGCACAAAATACATATAAGATAAAGTGCCTTTGAGACAAGTAGAATTGCCAGACAGGAAGTGTCCACATGAACTTAAAGACATTATAGTCACTGGACCTGCTCTCGCTCTTCAACAGCTTGGTCTCTTGCAGCAAGATGTTCGTCCCTCTCTCTCAGAGCAGCAGCTGCCTTCTCGTTCAGCTTCAGAAGCATGGGAGACGTTTTCTGGAGAAGGGCTCGGACTCTGCAGAGCTGTGACAAGAGCACACATAAGCATTAATGCATTTAAGACAAAGGACGTGCTGCCACCATTCAAACACCGCATAAGAGAGCAAAATGATATGAAGATACTGTGGTGTCGTTATTAAATTGTGAGTAAATGTCACAGAGATCAAACTACAATTCAAACTAAATGGTTTAAAACAAAACACTGCTGTTATTATTACTTTGTCAGATTTCTGTCCATTCCTGCTCACTTTTAGGTATTGCTACATACCGTGTGTGTGTGTGTGTGTGTGTATTAAACATACTTCTTTCATCAAAGCAGATTGTTCATCCATGGTTGTGGACAAAACATCAGAAGCAGAGTTCAGCATCTCAGTGTGGGCCCGGTTTAATGCGACCTGTGTTAGTAATGAGAGAAATACAAATGAAACACTTTCTGATGAACGTTTTGCTGAATAGATTAATGCAGCGGTTTGTTTTTGTTATGTGTACCTGTTCTGGGTAGGTCTGGTGTAGCGCAGCTGACAGTTCTTGTTGAGACCCCACAATCCTCTCTAGCGCAGAGATTTCGGTGGCACAGTGTGTCCTCAGCTGTTCCATCGCACTGAAGGCCTGGAAACAGACAAGCAGACACACACACTTCAAATCAAACAGCATATTGCTTACAATAAAGATTTAATAAATGAAATTCAAAAAGTATTTTGAATATTCTCCATAATATCTTCAGTACATGTATTTAGGTCTTTTGCCACATTTGTTCTGAAGATTTGAAATCTGGTAACGACATCCTTTGGGCAAGTAAGAAAAACATTAACATTGTGTTTATTAAAATGTCTTTAATTAAAAAATTAATATACACTGCATATGTTTGCATATCTTTAATAATCAAATTGTTACGAGTTCATAGATGAATACTTGATCGTGCACGTTGTAGTTTCTGAGATAAAGCCATTTTTTGACCATGCTATACTTAGTCTTTGGGGATATGAGACTACTTTTTTCCTAAATATAATTATTTATAAAAAAGAAGCAGTAGTCCCATGTGCCAAAAGACTAAATATAGTACGATTAAAAAAAAGCAAGTCACACTCACAATGTTTTTGACGGACTTAGAAGCTCATTCAGTGAGCAACTACTGATGCCTCAGTGTTCTACTGAACGACTTAGAAGGTCTTTTGTTGCAGCAGCAGTCAGATCTTTTAATGCACTCTTAGATGTAGCATCTTTCAGCTGTTAATCACGTCTCAAATGGCTCTTCATGGCGTTATTTATTTGTTATACTATGAATGTATATTTTTTGTTGTCTGTATTTGACTTTCAAAGGAGAAAAAAATGGGTTAAAGGCCTCACTTTGCCCCTAACTCAACGTTATTGTAACTCATCTTTTCGCAACAAAAGCATGACAAAGTATGGCCGTGGTTTTTTAAATAACTGGCTTTATCAAAGCTAAAAACTAAAAAAATCCTCAGCCTACAGCGGAGCCACTTGAACAAGGATTGGCATAATCATAGAGCGAGAGACAAAACATACATTGAACTACTTAAGTCACATTAATTCATTAAAGAGATGTCTCCCTGTGCTTACCGCCTCCTTGGCTGTGAAGGCGTCCTCCATCTGCATCCTCATGTCATCTCTTTGGTGAAAAGCATCTTTTCCCTTCTGCATCAATGCTGTCTGGGTGTCCTTTGTTTTCTCCAATACAGACTTCATCTGACTGTACTAAACAACAACAAAAAAGACAATACACATCAACTCATTTGTTCCCACCGGATAATTACACAGAAGCATGCGAAACACGTTTACATACATGTGCAACGAGGCTTTGATGGTCCCCTCTGACAACGTCTCCTAATCGCCTCATGTCAGAGAGAGCAGCATCCGTGTCATCACTCAAAGAAGTCTGTTGGGAAATAATTCAGTATTATTAAAAGGCAAAATCAGAAATGTCAATGCATTCTTTTCACAATAATGTAAATCATTAAAAAGCATCTACCAGAGCCTTTTATGTAGAACAATTTTGCAACATAGATGAATAACACGTGTGTTATGCCTCACCATGGTGACCTGCATGTCCCGCATACGCTGGATGAGGTTCTGTAGAGAACTTCCATCCAACTCCAACTCACCAATCCTGCTCAGAGCCTCCAAATATAGGTGTCTGTACATGGTGGTCTATGTAAAATACGAAATGTATAATCAATGATAAAAAAAAAAAAAGATTGTGCGTAAACTAAATGACATCTAACATATCTTCATAGCAAAAGAATATAACTGCAAAGAGCAAACTCTAAATGCTTCACATGTTCACTGTCAGCCGCTTAAAAGATGTCTGAATGTGTCCTTACCTGACTGAGTTCAGAGTGGTCTGTCTGCACTAGTTTCTCCCTGAGGTCTGAAGGTGCAGGGCCTGCAGAAGGACTTTCATTGGCCCTGGATGCAGCCAATTGCTGCACAAGAGCCTCCACCAGGATCATGCTAGACCTTAACCTCCGCTCCAGCTCTGGTCTGGGGAGACACTCTAGGCTGCCTGGAGGTAGGCTGAGAGCACACCAACAGAAGGAAACCGTGAGACACAAAAACACACAGAAATCTGAAATAACCATGTCATATTCAAAAAAACATTGGAAACCTAACTAGTCCAGAGTCTAGACTTACTTCCACAGGAGAGGGTCTGTTAGCGTGCAGGAATCCACCACAGAGATATTCCTCTTTCTCTCAAATTGGCCGGATGTATTGACGCTGCGGTCCAACCATTTAACAGGAGTGGTGCCCACACAGACACTGTGGGATTCTGCAGAAGTGGCTTTTGCCGATGGGACCATGACGGCAGCAGGAACCATATTTCCCGATGCCAAGAAAAGAAACTCTGCCATCTGCCGAAGCTGCTGCTGTAGGGGTCCATCTGGAATCAAAGGTATGTCCACAGCCGGCTTCTCCACTTCAGGCTGAGGCACCGCACAAGGCTTTGCCACCACATCCCCAACTGGCTCAGTGACTGGGTCTGACTGAGGCTTCCAACCTATTGCTGTAGAGTTAAACCGAGGTCGTGGCATGGGGCTCTCCATGTGCTCTGCCCATAAGCCAGCGGGGTCGTCGTTAAAAGGAGCAAACACGCTCTTTTCCCCCTCCAGAGCAAAATTGTCCAAAGCAGGACCCCTAAACACCTTTAATGCAGCGAGAGAGGCTCTACGAACAACAGGACTGAGGATCCCAAACTGAAAAGCTGATGTTACTGAGGGAAACTCTGACAGCACTTTCAAAACATCAGGGAGGTTTTTTGTCTGAGTTTTTTCTGCAGAGTTGCAAAGAACAGGTCCATCTCCAGATGAACCCAGAGCGCTGTCTTTTGCCTCACTGGATTCATGGGGTCCATTGCTGATTTGCACTTGAGATACATGTTCCACATGCACTTCGACAGGTGTCGGAGTCTCTGCCGAAGTCAGAAGATGGCAGCAGTCAGAAGACTCTGTTCTATGAAGCATTGAAAGCAATGCACCGTCCTTAGGATGCATGGAGTCCTTTTTGGACATTTCTTGCATTTGACAGTTAACAGATTTATCATCCAATGCCTTCAAAGATGTGTTAGTCGGTGAAGATGTACAGATAGCTGGTGGGTCAGCATCTACCACAACTGCTTTGTTTTCCACATGGCTCTTAGGTTGTTCATAGTCATCTTGAATGTGTTGCCGCGTAACAGAAGTAGGTACACTGTTGTCATCGAGGGGCTGGCAGATCACGACCTGTTTGTCAGGCAGAGGTGACGTCTTCTGAGACAAGCCATCAGATATATCAGCATCACTTCTGGCACTGCTGAAAGAGCTGAACGTGATGCCCTCTTGTCTGCCAGTCTGGCTATCAGGTGCCACCAAGCTTATCTGTTTGACCTCCTCCACAACATCAAGGCTGAATGGTAATGGTTCCCTCAATGGGTCATTTTCAATTTTACAGTAATGGTGATCAAAATGATCACTACAGTTTTGCCAGTCTTGGTCACTAGCCAACATGCTTGGATCAATACCATAGTTGTGCGACTCAGCGCAGGTCGCAGTTTGATTGGCTGGTAGAGGAACAGTCTCATCTGCAAGTTTGGTGCCATCGGAAATTTCAATCACACCTCCAGCGCAGTTAAATGATTTGAAGGTCACCTCACTCAGTCCATCAGCAGGCTTTTCAGAGCCATTTGTAGTCTCAGAGAAAGTGGTGATGGCACAAACAGCATTTTCACTGCTACAGTAGGGATGATCTGCATGTTCCGCTTGACTTAGCTGGCCACAGTCAGAGAAATTTGTTAAATTTACACTGTTGTCTCGTAAAGGTTCAACCAGCTGTGCCTTGGGCAGAGGAATGGTCTCATCTTGTAGTCTGGTGACATCAGAAACTTCCACCTCACCGCCATCGCAAACAAAGGATTTCCAAGTTATGTCTTTCTTTCCACAGTAGTCATTTGGAAAAGCTCTGAGATCTTGTGTGACTCGTCTATCATCCAAGTCTCCAGAGGCCAGTGCAGTGTTTGAACCTTCACAGAGACAGTCAACCAAGGAGGCATCTTTCATCTCAGGATTGTAATAGGGGTGTTCAGTGTGGTCACTGCAGGACTGAACTATTAAACTGTCAGAGATGACTGTGTCTTCCGTTTCATGCATGTTTTTCACAGCCTGATCCTTGGGCAAAACAATACTCTCTTCTGCACACACCAAGAAGCCTGCAACCTCAACCTCCCCACCGGGACAGATGAAGGACTTAAACGTTACATCTCCAAGTCCACCGGCTGTCTCGGTAGTTGTATCAATAGTGGAAGCATTGATTTGATTCACTTTGGTGGATGGAGGAGATTGTAAGTGGGCCTCAGGGTCACAGAGAGGAACATCGCTCTGTTGATTAGAATGAATGAAAGGTAAGAAAAAGTCACAAAAACATTAAAAATAATAGGAGTATTTCAAAATGTAAGTATAACCTCACCTTTGTCGGTTTCACAACATCAGCACTGAGCAGTGATTTGGATTTGAACCTCGATGATGGAGTTGACAGATGCAGCATTTCATTCTGCACACTTCTCAGAGGGGTACGCTCTCCACATCTGTTTGGAGGCTAACATTAACAGAAGTCAAAGTACTATTAGCTTGTTCAGTGATAATTTAACAACAAATTGTGCACAAAAGTCTTACCAAGCCTTCCCCACTGAAACTTGACTTCCTGGAGGACATCACTCTGGAGTGCTGGGAAACGTTTTACAACTGTAAAGGACGAAAACAACGTTTCTATTAAAACGTGCTTGGAATTTTAATTAAACTGCTTGGGGGACACTAACGTTAAGTCCGTTTCTACAGAGAAATCACGTTAACCACCGTTAGCTAAGACAACGATATTACGCTACGTAACGATATAGAGTCACATGGAGTTGGCCAGAAGTAAATTTAGTCGTTTTCGCTCATTCATAAACGTTAGCTAACTACTAAACAAACCTAGCTTGGATGTAACATAGCACTAAAATATCAAACAATGTATTGCTAAGAGTAATTTCAGCAAGGGCGTAGGGCTAGCAAACCTCTAGTTTAGAAAAGCGTTACCGAAGGCGTTAGCTAACGTAAGTTACGTTAGTTTGCGAACAGCTAACATCGGCAGCTAAGGGACATTTTAAACTAAACAAATGATGGACTATGATCTGTGAACCCAAGTTATACACATTACCTTCCAACGATTACCAATCAACTTTAACAAACGTTGTAAAAGCTACGCGAATAGGGTAAACAAACCCTTACCGTCGAGCAGTCATCAACCGCGTTTCATTCAAAACACAAATGTCAGCGCTGCTATTGGTCCATTTGTCTTCTTCTGCTGTTGTGTGACGCAGTGGGCGGACGTAACGCGTCATACAACACACTGCTGCCCCCAACAGGAAGTTATTGTAATTACTCTATGGTGACTTTTCCTAAAGCCCTAAAATCTATAACTTCCCTGCCTTTTAGGTATACAGGTAAAGTTTTTCTTTACAATTGTATGCATGAACATAGAAATAACTCTTATTAGTCACTGTCAAAATACTGGCTAACATTTAACCTGCTAAACTGCCAACACTTGTTTACTTTACCTGTTAATGAATTTAAACACATTTAGTTTAATTATTTATGAAGTCCCGGGTTTAACATTCAAAACCCTTCCCTCTCCGTTACATAAAGGTTACTAAATATTTGTCAAAGATGAGTCACAATATTGTTGTCATTGTTACCCTTAATTCAGCCAAACCTCATAAAAGTTATGTAAATTATTTTCTTAGTAATTTCAATATTTTTTTTTGAAGATGTAAATCCATGCATCTAACAGATTAATCATAAATATTTCCTTTGTCCTTTCACCACCACTCTCTTCCTCTCTCTGACTCAAAAACACACCACTCTAAGCCATAACTGGAAAGGGATTTACTGTCACTGTTGGTCTCTAGGCAGTTATACCAGTATTAACCACTGGTTAATTATCCACTTATTCTTGATCATTATGTTGGGTAGAAGGCCAGATATGAAAAACACATGAAAATAAAAATTGTACATCAAATAAACTTTTACACCAGTGCAGAACAAGTCTTGACCAAAGGTAAACGTGCACAAAATATCATGAAGATGGATGAGAGAAGTGGGCAAACCTTTTAATAGTTCATGAGAAGAACTCAATAATTTACTACATTTGATAATTTAATACATTTGCACAATCACTCGTATTTCTAGATCACTTGTACTGAACACGTACAACCATTTCATCACCATTGGGGCTTCTTGTCAGAAACATAAACGAGTACAACAAAAAAAAGAAAAACATACGTTTCAAAAATCTTTTATTTGATCTACTTATATTAAATTGAATGTACCTTGGCTTTCATGTGTCTGATTTTAGAAGGTCTAAACATTTGTCAGTATAGAAAGTACCTGGAAATGTTGAGATGAGGCCCATTTGACAGGCTCTGTTTTTGTTCCTCAACAAACATGAAAACGGAGTCTTTCCAGCTGTGAAGCTTCCCTGAAAGGGGTTCTCACATTGAAGCAATGTGTTGCTCCACAGGTCGGACCTGCAGTACCTCAGCGAAGCCTTGTCCAAACCAGCAGGTGATGTCAGCCGTGTCCAGGGTGAAGAAGAAGAGTCTGTCTCGGCAGCGTGTCCTCCTGTAGACTGACCGTGGGTCTGCTGACAGCACCCCTCTGATAGCGGCAGCAGCTTCCTCTGGACTGCGAAGGAACTTGAACCTGGGTCTGTCACTTTCAGAGGGCCCTGTGTGACATGTGGGTTGGTGGGGTTTTTTCCAATGGCAGCACTCTTTTATCACACAAATCATCATGCATCCATTATTTTTGAATATTAATCCTTCAAGCTGTATATACTGTAAATAGACATGTATACATGCATATACCGTGCAGAACCATGCGTTTCACACCCATTTTTTCACCTCCTTGTATAAACATACTAGTTCTGTTATTGTTGATGGTTTTGTTCAGCTTTGTCGTCCTTGATTTCAGTTGTATGTCTATTTCTATCTTCCTGTAAATTGTTGTCGGTAAGGTCATTGTGAGAAACCTAAAGGGTCAACATTCCTCGTGTGTGAACACAAACTTGGCCAATAAAGCAGATTCTGAATGACTGTTTTCATATTCAACTCTTTCACAACAGCACCCTCTTGTGGAGAAAAACACAACCTCACCCTATTACCTGGAAGTTCGGTTTACCTGACAGGTGTGTGGGAAGGAAGTCTGCTAACTCCCTCTCAGCCTGAGGAGTGAAGCGCACCTCCAAACTGCTAACAGGAGGCTCTCTGATCCAGCCAGCAATGGTACTGTAGGCCTCCTCTCCATAGCAAGGGTGGTCCACAGTGGCATCTGGTGGTTTGGTTTTGGGAGAGTCTGAAACTTCATCCTCTCTTGCACAACTCAGCTGGCAAAGGTCCCTTTGGGTCACATAGGCCTCGACCTCCTCCAGCACGTCGTTTAGATCTTTGTGAAGCGAAAACTGAGCACTGACTGACTGAGAGGAATCTGTGACTAAAATATCAGCTTCAGATTTGTCTGTTGAGAGGAAACTACAAACGTCATCATCATCATCATCACTTCTTTCCATTTTTAGGCCTGACTGATCATCACAGTCTTTTTGGAGGTTTAATATATCTGTTGTCTCATCTGAGCTCATCCTGGAGTCGGGGTTGTCGTACTCTGAGATGTAGGGTTTGATGTCCAGCACTGGGGTTCCAGCAATCATGTCAATGTTTGAAAGATGTATTGTATCCCCTACAAAATAAAGATGGGACAGCAGCAGGTTCAATTTGACAGCTGAACATTTAGACTTGTAGTATATTTAAATAAAGTGCACGCAGGAAAAAATATAATCTATACATTAGTGTAGTCTAGCATTAAGATTTGACACTCTGCCAAATATGTACATAGGTCCTCACAAAGACACAAACACGCATTTTGCACACAATCAACAATTGAAGACACATTTTTGTTAATCACACTCACCTACTATTTTATCAAGTCTAGCTAGAGTTAGGCCCAAGGCATTTGGTCGGTGGGGACTGCGTGTCGAGTACACACCAACTCTCTGACCGTTGAGTCGAGGAGGCTTCACTTTGGCTTTGTAACTCAAGTGCCCATTTTTGTGAAAGAGAAAGATGATCCTGAAAAGACCAAATGGGAAAAACACACATATGAAATAAACAATGGATACACAAAGTCGGTATGTGTGCAGAGGCGGTTTTGTTGAAATTGGCAGAAGAACATTATACAAAATGGGAAAATAAATCTCAAGCAATAAATAGGTAGACAACCAAAAACTTATACTGCTTCTGTCAGAGGAATAAAAAAGCTACTAAATATCACCAATAGTGCCAACTAAGTTTATTTATGCAGCGTTAACACCAGTCTGATATGGCTTCATATGCTCTTATTAAACAGGTGAAAGGACAACTCATTCAAGCAAGGAAAAGTCAGCAGCATTAGACTCAAATGGCTCCATTAAAAATGCATTTTAACAAGTGTGCTTTGATGCAATCAAACCATGAAATGGAATGCCTTTATATAGACTTTTAATACCAACTGCATATGTAACTCCTGATGGTCCAAATTAAAAAAAGTGTCTAGGCTCACCTCAAAAATCCGCACTCCAAACTTGCAGCGCTTCAACAGACTGGACTTTGAAAGATATACAGTATAAATACACAGTACACCAACTGCATGAGACCTACCAGACATGGGAGTATTGCTCCAGACCCACCAGAGCATGCTCAGGGTTATTGAAGACACTCTGCTGGATGCGCAGTTCGGCCCTTGAGGGGCCACAAATGGTGGGCTGTCTGGGTGTCCCATTCTTCACAGAGAAACAGGAAGTGATGTAACCAATCGGGACTGTCTGGATGTTTCCTGTATCGTTACAGAGATAACAACATTGTTTAAATTTATAACATTTTTATAAATGTGTAACACAGACGCATCTATCCTTACAATTTGTTTTACTGCTTATGTACAACATATTAGCCAGTAACCATTTATTTATTGTATGTGTGGGTTTGTTCTCTACATTTAGTATTACTGAACTACACATCTACATCTCATTCATTGTCTTTGTGCAACTTACCAAGAAGCAGCCTTAGGCAATATATATATTATCTCTTTATTGATATTTTTTATACTTGCACCTTTATTGATATTTTCTATTTGCGCTCTTTTCTGCTACGGACTACAACTGCTGCACTATTTCAATTCCAATTTTATTTTAGTGCTGAAACCGTGAAATCAAATAACTGACATTAAATCAATAAGATTTCCTGCAATTTTATCACTACAAATTTAATATTTTCAGATTTTGGACTGACAAAAAAAGTTAATTCATGATGTCGCTAACCGAGATAATCAGTCATGGTGTACTAATCAATTAATCCCAATAATACCAGACAGACTAATAGATAATGACAAAACATTTATACACATATATTTATTTTATGATAAAAACAAAAAATCCTTTGGGATGAAGCAAGTTTTAATGTTTCTTATCTGATATGATGAGATGAAGTAGTATAAAGTATATGCGATAATAAAGTCGGACATAGTGTAGATGTTTTTTCTGAGGAAATTCTGAAAAAACAACTTGTATTTCTCTTTATTTACATTATTATTGTGGCTGACTTTGCAGTTGTACTAATGGTATTCACCTTGCTCTAGTGCAGCCTGTGGGGATGCTGCTGGTGCAGACGGTGGTGGTGTCTGGTCTTTATCAGGTTCACAGAGTCCAATCTTTGACACAGCAGACTGAATGGATATCATGTGTTTGTGATGACCTCGAACCGCACTGTCCAACATCTGCCTGTCAAAAAAGAATCAGATAAAAGTAAATACCATGTCAAAAGAAAAACAAATACAATGTAATGAATGGCATGTGAACAAGGAAACACAAGGAAATGCAATAAAACTTGATTTTTAAAGATAAAGTAGCGGTGTATATCAATAACACGTCTAAAGAATATGACAGCAAAAAAGTGTATTAACACCATGTCTAAAGAGAGACATATATATAGTTAGTTACAGCTGTTACAAAGGTAAATGGAGCCTCTACCTCAAGTTCTTGATTTCCTTTCTCATCACGGAAATCTGCTGATTCAGTTTATTAACGTGCTCGCCGCAGCAGTCACACAGAGGACTCATCTTACTCAAATATAAAGGATGACAAAAATAACAGAATCAGTTAGCTTTCAGCTAGCTGGCTAAACAGCAACAAACCGCTCGTGAAACACGTGGGAGTTTGTCAATGCGGAAGCACGAGTTTGACTTCCTGTTGACCAACCAGGAGTGTTCCAGGTGACAGCATACCTGATCATCTGCGCAGGGCAATTTACTGCTAATGTTATGGATACCTTACACATTGGGTACATTGTAATGTAAATGTAGGTAGAAAACTCGACTTGCAGCAAACATATATCACTTACGTATTGATGTTGCAGAAGTCATTGATATATTTGCACCAGTTTTGTAGCCCACTGCATGTTTAATTATTCTTTTATTTCTATTTTTTTTACAGCACATTATTTTTCTAAATCAATTAATATAAAAATACATCAGTTTCTTCAAATATAGCCGACATGACCAAACATCACATGCTGGTTCCACTGCATGTTTTATATCAGCAGAGGTCAGCCAAGAGTAATGTCACCCTCCTCGTTTTCTTTTCTTTTTTTTAAATAAGCTTTATTTATGAATACAGATCGAATATTACTATTCGTAATGTCATGTTTTTATTAGTAGTCGTAATTTTTCCATCATTATTCTGCTTACTACTTTCATTATATTAATCATTTCTGTCATATTAATTGAATGTGTTGTAACTCTGTTATGTTGTTCATACTATACAACATAATAAAGACAATTATAACCACAGTCAGATGATTGTAAGCAGTGTATTTTATTAGGTGAATAACAACTTTTTACAAAATTCTGTCAAATAAATCCATAATTACAAATACATCATCCCCAGTGATTTTATACCCTTTACTCTTAAATAAAAGCAAGCAAAATTTGCTGTTTACTGAATACAAAATACAAAAAAATAATTAATGAGCTTCGTAGTGACGAACAAACCAGAATAAATAAGCATGTTTGTTTTGAATTGATACATTTGTCAAATAAGCAATGCATATGCTCAGTATGTTTGTTCTCTTAAACCAACAGGCTGCACACTAACCAAAGTAACACTCGGATACAAACTGTGATCGGAAAAGAAGCAAGTCTGAGCCGAGGCAGTATCTGAAAAGTGTGTTTTCGAAAATTAGAATACATTTCCTGGGAAATATTTTTGTGGAGGAGGCGTCGGGGACAAGGTTGGAATTGAGAACATTGCGTTTTGTTCAGGTACGTTGATCGACGATGTTCCAATCAAATCTAAAAAAAAAGACAGGATACAATTCATATTAGGACAAAATGAAAACTCTTCAACAATAGGTAATGTCATTTTTCCACACCATTCATTCTCCTTGCTGTCTAATTTTCCTCTTTAATACCTTCATCGGCTCTTTTGTCTTGAAATGCAGAGATGTCCTCCTCCTCATCTGGGCCCAAGTCCTTAATCAGGATCTGGTCAAGGGCCTCCCTGCCTTGTAACTCTGCGGAAAGGGTCTCCACCTGAGGAAGAGCTGTGGCAGGACCAGGTGCTGCAGTTGGAACAGGGGCTTGAGTCAGGACTGGGACTGTGACTGGGACTGGGACAGCATCTGGAGCCAGAGCTGAATCTTGAACTTTGACGGAGAGAGGAACAGGAGGTGAGAATGAAAAAAGCGCTGGAGTCGGGTTAACTGGTGCTGGAGAAGTCAGAGTAGGAGCAAAGACGGGGCTTTGGATGGATCCAAGCAGTGGCCGAGGTGCAGGGGCAGCAGGGACAGATGAAGGTTGTGATTCCACAACAAGTAAAGGGGATAGAGAGCCTGGTGTTTGATCTGGGATGACCTCAGCAGGTTCAGGGACCACCACCGCAGGAGCTTCCTGAGGCACTGCTGCCTCCTCCTGAATGACAGAGATCTCTGGCGTGGGCTCGCTCTTCTTGGGCCTCCCTCTCCTCTTTGTGCCACTCTCAGCCCTGGGTCTTTTCCTCTGACTCTCCACCCTGAGAGAGTTCAACAAATTCAATCAACCTCCTGGCATTAATACAGCTTTCTGTGATACTTTTGCAAAGCTAATAGTACAAAGTCCTTGACCTGGATCTGGTCAATAGAAACACAAGAGCAACCTTTGGTTTCCTCTTGCTCCATATTCAATATAAGGCAGAGGAATGATAAGCAGCTGGAGCGCTAATTATGATTTAACCGTGCATTGTCAAGTATGGTGTTATATAGAAGCCAGTTTTGTTAATAAAGCCTTGTTAAACATTTCTGATGCTAACATTTGTACTCTCCATGGCTTTAAAACAATGATGTACTGTATCATTACTGGGTTGTACTGTAGATTTTGTCTGCACTGCTAAACCTATAATGGTTACTCCAAATAAAGATAGCTGTAAGGTCACTGCACTAACATTGGCTAATCCTTTCTTTAAATTTATCCAAAAACCCACTGGTTAGTCTCCTTTTCTTCTGCTTCGGCTTTTCTCTTCTTGAGAAGATCCCTGTCCCGCAATCGGCGACGGATTCCACCTATGAAAGAGAGAAACAACGAGGGCAGCATGAAAGCATGAAACGAAAGAGCAGTATTTTTTATGCATGACCAGAGAATGTGGCGGGTGACTGATGGCGTATAAAGATGTGGTTCAGAGACAGTTTTTCTTTCAGCTTCACACGGGCTCGACTGAAACATTTCCACACTTGGGTTTAAAAATATAGCAAGAGTAGTAACAGTAGCTTAGTTGTTGATTAAAGTATATCACACAGTATGCAAATGAATAACCGGCACACTCAACTTTCTAGTGTGGAAATACTGAAATAGACTTAATTTCAAAAAGAAGAGAAGTAAATCTTAAAAGTTACCTTGGTCTTCATTCAAATTTTTATATTCCGACACTTGTTTCTCTTGCTGCAATGTCTCCTCCATTCTGAGTCCTGCTATGAATGAATTCAACTCATTGAAGGCGGGCAAGCACAGAAATGAAGACAGAATAACTTCTGACTGTTTTCTTTTCCCACCCCTAAATGAATTATCTGGTTAACCATTACCATAGTGCTGGAAGAGTTCTTGCAGCTTTGGTCTTATCGTATTTGTAAAGCTGGTGGGGTTGGCACAGCTTTGACAGAGAGAGAAAAAAAAACGACTAGAGCAAGTTGTGTGACAGTAGTGTGTGATAGGGATACAATATGTATGAGGTAGAGGGGGAAATAATAAAGTATTAGGCTTATTAGACTAAAGTGTTGTCTTAATTAAACTAGTAACATAAAAATAAATTCAGTTTTGCGTGCATGTTTATGTGCAAGCCAGCAGCTGATAGTGAAGCTGTGGCAAAAGTATATTGTGATTGAATTTATATAGACAATCATTCAATGTCTAAATGATCCAATATCGTTGGCAGGCACAAAACAGATCCACAGTTCTGAATATGAAATAAATGAGCCAATACTACAAATCCCTGCGTGTTTCTTTTTGCATAAATAATAATAATCACCAACAAACATACTAAAGACTGTCTTTTTTTATAATATAGCAATATATCATAAAGTACTTTGGGTAGACTGCTGTGTTGAAAAGCCACTAGACAGCCTGACATCAAGCAAGAAATCCTGTCTTCAACCGGAGTGGAGGCATACCCATCTTATCTCACAGATGGAGAGCTGCTCAGTTGGGGCGTGTTCTCAATCTTCTCCCAGCACATTGATGTGTGTGTTTGTGCCACTCAGAGAAAGAAGCTGTCCTGCAGAGTAAATAACACTCTGCTGCCAATTGCCTCCAGCACTGTAGGGGAAATGTTGAGGGTCTCTTGGTTCAATTCAAAGAAGCTTCTTGCAATAAAATTATAGTAAGAGAACCATGTTTCAATCTAAACTACTCTCTGTTGAACTTGTGACTGTTGTGGGAAATGTGCTCAGTCACCTGTTTTGTCCGGGTTCGTCCAAGTACTATAACCTCCTTCTCTGGGACTCACTGACTGAGATGAACAAACTGTCCCATTCAAACAGAAACTGACACACACACACACACACACACACACATTTAAACTACCTTGAACATTTAGCAGCACCTTCAGTATCACGGTCAACTTCCAGCTGTTTAAAAAGACCACAGGCTGCACAGTGAACTCTTCAGCTGATAACAAGACACACGACTGGACTCCTTCCATGTGTGCACATCTTTTCCAAATGACAGATTATTATCAGCATTACAACCACATGCAGTTATGGCTGTCACTCACACACAGCCCTAAACTGTTGGACAATGCAATTTAAATGTGAAGAATGTCAAAGCAGTGCCATCTTCTGGTGTACATTGTCTACTATATTAAACACTGATTTAAAAACAGTCTATATATTATGAACAAATAACTTGCACAAGGCCAAAGACTGTTTGGATATTGCACCCTGTAGACATAGTGGAAACACAACATTGTAGCCTGGATCCTATGCTTATTTGTGATAAATATTTACTATTCTACTAATTAAGCTAAGAATTGTATAATTAGGGATTCATATTTTAATGTATAAAGGGCAACAACTCCGACTCAGTAGACTTCAACTCGAGGGGTCTGGTGTCTCAGGAAGTAAAGGGGGGTGTAGTTTGGGGGGGGTTGCCCTCCTCACCCATGTGCATATACAATGCTCTCTTTACTGCAAACCAAACACACCCCTCCTCTCTTGCTGTGTGTCTAAATGGCTACAGGAATTTATGAACCGAAAGTACAACACAAGTTATCCATTCTGCACTTTATTGATCAAAATGGTCACAAGGAGCATACATGCATCACTGTCTGGGCTACAATTACAATCATGCATTTGCCAAACAAAGGAAGGCAACAGGTTTGAATACTAATCAAAGCAGGATTTCTTTATGTTAGATATTCGCCTTGTTCACTCATTCAATGTGAAACCACAACACTATAACAATTAATACATCGAACATGGGGATGTTGTCCAGCCATGAAACTGTAAGTTAGGCAGATAAACAAAGTTGACCATATGACCTACTTTATCGACGTGTAATTGCTTGAATGGTACTTGCAGTAAACTGTGCCCATAATGCTGATTTCCTTCATTTAATGAAACTGGCTTTGCAGACAAAAAAAACTCTATACTTCACTAAACATACAGCATTTTCCTTGCAGAAATAAATTGCACCATAGCACTGTTTCGGGGCAGCGTCATGTTTTGTGACTGCAATGCCTTTCATAGAGGCGATGGGCGTTTCTGGACGCAGATGGCGCTGTTGAGCATATATTTTTTCAGTCCCGTTTCCCTCCATGGTTTCTCCTCTCTCCGACTAACTTAGCGTTTGGCTCAGTTCATCATACAGTCCTATATTCTCCCTCCATTGGGCATCTCTGCCTTTGGACTGAAGATCCCACCAAAACCCAAGAGAGAAAAGTTTCACTTTCATAGGGCAAGATGGACATGAAAAAGAGGATCCACTTGGAGCTAAGAAACAGGACACCGTCTGATGTGAGTCGTGCTTTTTTTAAAAATCAACCCTTAGTTTTCTGGCTAGCCTTTGCTAGCCTTGCTTGCTACTTTTTCTGCTTTGCGAGTGACCTGTGTGGCTAACGTAATGGTGACCACATGGGCTTTAGATGATGTTTTCTGGTTTATAATGGGGCGGAAAACACTCGCACAACAAGCTTAATCCTTTATACTGCTCTGGATTGGGCGTATTGGGGCAATGAGAGGAGAAAAGCTATGAACGTTATTCAATCGTTACTTTGAAACGGCGATTATTTCGCTCGCTGGCATTATTGCGGTGCTTTAACCGTTTCGCAGCCTCCTTGTCCAGTGGTGCACACGGTTCAGAAGGACTCCCCCGGTTGTACCACAATTAGTAAACTTCTTTTTACGCTGGTATATTAGGGGATTTGCATCCTGCGCCGCGGTTGGCATTTACAGAGCGGTACATTTCATACAGACCTTGGAAGCCATGTTTGCTGCTAGCATAACTGCTAAAAATGGGGCGCTTTTTTTCGTTACAAACGATCTTTACAACTCTAAAGGCGTCCGTGCTACAAAATGAGTTTTTTGTTACATGTAAACGGGCCATCACGAGTTACGTCTTTAAATTCCCGGCGAGTACGTTAATATCAAATGGTCAGATTCAGCAGCGACAACAAAAAAAAAAAACAGTCACTTGATTCACGAGTCATCCATATACGTTGATCACTTAACATTAAGCCACTGTTACAATAAGCCAGTTGAAATTTACACAAACTAGCAAATACCTATTCGTGTGACCGTGGGTTGTTTTAAAGACACGCTGCGATTCGTAAGTTTCCAAAGGGAGTGTGCAGCAATTTATTCCCCCAAAAATAGCTTACACGCTTGTTTAGCAGCTACGTTAACGTTACCCTTTCATCTAAATACTGCACTTATTTAATAAAGTCTGGTGATGATTCAGTCATCTAGACAACAGCCATCTAACTTAGTGTTTTTGTTCCCGCCACATTACCCCCACTGTACAAAGACAACAAAATATATCCAGTTGTAAACTTAAAAACTGTCAAAACACAACTACTCTTTCGTCCGATGGTTGTTAAGCAGAGCTAAACGTGTCGTTGTTTGCAACCAAACGGATTAATTTGTTGACCATTGGTTTCATTAACCGAGCCTTGAATGACACGGAGATCCGGTGCACCGCGCTTCATGCGTGGGCAGCCAAAAACTCGACGGTCGGCGTTTCCCCATCGACTCATGCATAAAATAAAACTGATTTAACACCGAAAAATAACTTAGGTAATGTGTAAATAACGATAATTACTCTTTATAAGCAGTTGTTTTTGCCCATTGAAGTGTTCAGAGAACTGCATACTGTATCTCAGGAATCGCCATGTTGTCATTCTGTCGTCTTTGAAGCTCTGGGAGAAAGGAACTGTCTCCATCTTTGTTTTTTTTTTACTAAATTTCCGTTCTCAGTATATTTCCTTCGACCAGAACACGACGTTGTACCCTGTAACAAACTGGTAATATGGGTCGTTCGCTCGACGACAAGGAATATTCCACTTCCCAAATGAAAGCTGGTTTAACGAAAACAAGAAAATCTGCACTAAGGGTGTATTCGCAATCCTTTCCGTTGCTGTTGGGTTGGCTAATGGCGGGCAGACAGACTGCTCCTCTGCTGCACGGCAGCGTTTAAAAGGGGCAACGGCTAGCCTGTAGCGAGCTAACCTAGCTCACTAAAAATCATTGCATTTGTCATTAGTGACTGCATCAGCAGGCCACGGGAAACCACCGCTTTGCTCTTCATCGTGTCAATGAAATCTGTATATTACCTATCATGCCCGGATACATTAAGCACACACGCGTGTTTTTAGATGGAGACACAAGAACCGTTTCGGTGTTTTACATCAGAAATCGTGATCTTTGACGTTTGCCACTAACTTTTTTTGCAACGTTTTTCTCCAACATTGAATTGCGCAACCAGTGTTGGCTTTAACCGACTCAAATTAACTCCGCCTTCAGGCTTGTTTTGTAATGTTTTACAGCAACTACAAAATACATTTTAGATTATTTTACACACAATAAAGGGCCATTTCCCTAAACAACAACACAAACTATTAAAGATGTTATGTTGTCTGTCAGCTTGTTTTCTCGATGATTTTGCCTAAAAAAAATGGCACTCTTTTGTTTCAAAAAAGTTTGTAAAATATTTTATATATCAAATATAATATTTTTTCATTCTAGAATAGATTGTTAGTGTAGTTTCACTAAATGGATTAAACTGGAGATGATTTTTTTTAATGTGATGTATTGTACTTTTCTGTATTCCAGGTACGAGAACTTGTCCTTGACAATTGTCGATCAGTTGAAGGAAAAATCGAAGGCCTCACAGCTGAGTTTGTCAACCTGGAGTTCCTCAGTTTGATAAATGTTGGCTTAATGTCAGTCTCCAACTTGCCCAAACTAGGAAAACTCAAAAAGGTAAAAAAAAAAATAAAAAAAATTATGTTTCACCTTTTTACCTCCATGTAAAAGCTGAATTGTGACAAAATGTCAGCTGAAATAATATGTCCCTCTACTGTCTTTCAGCTGGAGTTGAGTGACAACAGAATCAGCGGTGGCCTTGATGTTTTAGCAGAGAAACTACCCAACCTCACGCATCTAAACCTGAGTGGCAACAAATTGAAAGATATTAGCACATTGGAACCATTGGTATGTGTTTTGAGATGTGTTGGAGACAACACTAACATACATATCTATCTGCATGAACACAGAATGTGTATATTATATATCATGTTAATGCCAAATTCATTATTAGACAAAGCACACGTATTTATACACAATCTTATCATGCACACGACTATTAATGTAGATGTGATTACAGTAATGAACTGTTCTCAACCAACAGCATACAAATAACATGCATTTCTAATTTGAGCACAGCTTTCTGTATATGCGGATATAAATCTTTAAACTTTCAGTTGTTAGAGTCAACATACACTTCAACTGACCTTTCAAAGGGTTCAGCAGAGATCCTCCTTATACATTTCACACATTTAAAATCCACTTACAGTATATGCATTTCAAATATGATTCTTATATGGGAATTTGTATAAGAACAAAAAAAGGGTTGAGCAAACTGCATACAGCGTTCTTCGAGTTAAGGGTGCAAGAAACTGGAATTTCTGGAAATTCAGTTGAGAAATTAATTCTCTTATCCAGATACTTGCGTACCTGCAAATCAAGGTAGTTCAATTACAACCAGATATTAATCTGTATAAATGGTATAGCAAAACATCCACTGGTTGACACATTTTACAGCCCATACAGTATCAGCCAACCTCACACACACTTGACACGCTTTAACCCTTACAATGACATGCAGCAGTTTCTCATCGCAGTTCTTTACTGAATGTGATCAACAGAAAAAGCTGGATAACCTGAAAAGTTTGGACCTGTTCAACTGTGAAGTGACAAACTTGAATGACTACAGAGAGAGCGTGTTCAAGCTGCTGCCACAGCTCACCTACCTGGATGGTTACGACATGGAGGACAGGGAAGCCTCCGACTCTGACGGAGAGGTGGATGGAGACGGCGTAGATGACGATGAAGATGAAGGTGAGAAGTTCTTCCAATACCTCAGGTCTTCCTGCTTTACTGATCCTTAAGTCCACGGTAGCTGGAAATATATCAATATGAAATGACAACACTCTCACTTTGAGCACGGAGTCTGCTAATGTTGGACTTGGATTACAGCACGATTCCATTTTGTTGACCAAATTGTTGTTGCTTTTGTAATTGCAGAGGGAGAGGAGGAGGAAGACGAGGACGGAGAGGAGGAGGACTTTGATGAGGAAGAGGACGACGAGGAAGATGAAGAGGAGGTAGAAGGAGAAGAAGACGACGATGAGGTCAGCGGAGAAGACGAGGTAATCCCCAAAAATGTAATTGAAATTATTTGGCAGAAAATATTCTTGCAAGGAATTTGGATTCATTTTTATTTCTGTTAACTTTTTAAAACATTTTTGTTTACCAAGGAGGAAGACGTTGCTCAGGATGCGGAAGTAGATGATGAAGATGAAGAAGATGAGGACGAAGACGGTATGTACCATTGCCATAGTTGGACACCCTTCCCTTTACAAATCAAAAATGCATTCAAACCCCAGAGCACCTCTAACTTATTTCAACACAGTTAACGGTTAGTATAAGTACAACACAGCACTCCGGCCATCTCTCTTCATATCACAACTCTAGACCCTCCACAAGGCCAAGATCTGGTTTATGTTTTTAATGTGAGAGGTGGGACATTGCTTATCCTGCCAGATTGGGTTAGACAGATGTTTCTTCATTTAAAAAAAAGCACAGAACTATTACACTGTATACTGCAGACTGAGACTGTAATCCACTGATACGCATATAACTGACTGGCTACAAAATGTACGAACTTTAAAGTGAGTCAAAAGTGCATTTACTGTTAAGTTACTCCTTAAGATTTAAGTCAAATCTTTCACAAATTTTCTCATATTTGTGTGTACTCTTACTTAATTATTAAAAAAGTAAAAGTGCAAAATAATGCTACATAGTACCATATTGCCTTTTTATTGTTGTGTTATTAAAGTAAAGAAAAGTCAAATGTACTGAAACAGCTGAAATCCAGTTTTGGAAATGAAGCCGTTTTGCTATTAATGACACGGCGGGATGGCTGAGTAAGGACAGCGGCCTTTAGATTTAAAATGTTATTTTTGTACATAAGCTGCAGCTTTAAATAAAAGCAATGCGTGCATAGAAGGGTAAGTACATGTACATATGTGGGTGCACTTGATAATGACTAATAAAAACTGAATATCAGGAATGATATGACACCTGCTGGTGGTTGTGTTTACTGAGGGAGCTGTGCAGGAGCGTTCACAGGGCATTATCAAATGCCTTCCATAGCAATTGCCCATCACTGACCATTCATAATATAAGTCAAATAACATAATATAGTTGGATCAATTTGAGGTTTGAGAATGTTAATATATCTTAAGGCATAAAAACTTAAGACGAGCTCGTCAGTGTAAAACATCTCAGGAGGGTCGGTTATATCCTGAAAAATGTCAATATTGAAGATGCATATCTGACACTGTTTATTTTCAGCTCCTTATGGTGTAACATTATATCATGTAGGGACAGCAAAACATGATAGTGCCCACCCTCTCTAAGATCCCACTAGAGGATTGATAATGCTGAAAGTGGAGGGAATTAACACTGAATACATGTAAAGAACCCTGTGTATGTATAAAATATATAACGCGTAAAGACTATATTATATGTAGAATGTGTTAAAAAAAAAATATATATATATTTATGTATTTCCTGTATGATTAAAGGGTTAGCCTGAGTCTGGCTGTCGTGCCTGCAATGGATTATAACATTTTCGCTGTTTTGCTGAAATTGAAGTCTCTTTGCCCCCAGAAGCAGCGGAAGCAGCGGACGCTGGCAAAGGGGAGAAGAGAAAGCGAGAGCTAGAGGATGAGGACGACGATGACGACGATGAAGACGACGATTAAGAGCAAAACTGAAAACGAGAGCCTACCGAGTTACCCTTCCTCTCCCACAAACCCGAACGTCCGCCCTCCTACAACTCACACCGCCTTTGTAATCCGTGTCTACCCCCCCCCCCTCCCCCTCCCCCCCCAGCTCTGAGCTCTTTTTATGGGGCAAGACTGTACCGGATGGGCGGGCCGAGTGGAGCTGCCACACCCTTTTTCCCCCTCCCCCCTCATGGAACTGAGAGCCACCCAACACCCTCCACCTCACCCACCCCCACAGCCCAGAGGTTCTCAGGCAGCCCAGCACTCAGCATTCCACAATTTCACTGTCGATCCCTCTTTATGTATTCCCGTGTGAGGACTTTGGGACTGGTATCTAGTTTTGGGTCTGTGCTTTTAATATTTCTTTGGATGAATAATTTTTTTTGTTGTTGGGTTTATTATTTCTCAATTTTATTGTCTTTTATTGTTTTTGTTCTGTTCCTTTTATTTTTCCCAATAAAGTTATTGCTATAGCAGCTGTGCAACCAGCGAGCCATGATTTTTAGTGTGGCCGCCTGTTGCACAAATCAAGGTTGTAGCTACATTTTTACTTTCTGTATGACAAAAAAACAACTTTGTAAATAAAATGTTAACATTTTGTGCTTTTCTCTCTTCCTGCCTTGTTTTTTTGGTGTACCGAAATGCACGGAAAGTGACAAAATGACGGCCATCATCCACCCCTTGCTGTTACTCTGTGTATTCTGATGGTGACTGTAGATAACAGTCCACAGAAAAGCTTTATGTCTGGCCTTAAAAGACAGGTCTTTGATTTTTTTTTTATGACTCTCCCTTGATACAATACTCTTTTGCGAATTTGTCAATGGAGCTATTAGTCGCTGTAACCATTACTCCTCACCATACTAGTCTCAAGGAGAATCTTTTCTAGTGAGTCCAATGTAAGAGATGGAGACAAAATCCAGTCTTCTGTGTAAAATGCTTTCTGAAATTCACCCATACCTAATACTGAATGAGGCCTTCACAGTGTCAGTAAGTTAAGTGTTTGTGTTTTTAGTGTGAATGTCTATTTTTGGACTTCAACTAGGAATGGATCATTTCACGACCATTATGGACAAGGAAAATGATCACAGTGGTGGTTCCCAGCCCGTTTGGCTTGATAAGCCCTCGACAAAGCGATGTCGGCTCAGGGGACTCCTCATCAAAGCCTTCATTGTGGCTCCGAGCTGTCAAATCCTAGCTGGGTGTTTCATTTAAATATCTTGTTTTTTGGGCTGAAGGGGCTAAATTGTTTTTCACAAGAATAAAAGATAAGAAAAAAACATTTTGTTTACAGCAAAATGATGGTATGTTTTCTTCTTTCATATCTTGTTAATAACCCCATCTTGTGACTTCTTGGAGAGTAAATTTGAATGACATTTGGGCATGTGAGTATTGTTTTAAGACCGATTTGAGAACGTATCATTAAGGAGTTTTCCCACTAAAGTTAATGCTGTACTAGCTTGTAACCTGTAGATTATATTCTGAAACAAAATATAGTCATTATACGCTCTACAGAAACAATGTTACCCCGAGATAGAGAGCACTCGTCTCTAACCCCTTTTTTTAACATTGAGCCAGCAACAGCAACTCAATTTCATTACTGTACTTGTGAGGAACAAGCTTCTCCAGGCTGCTGCTTCTTTTAGAGCCCTTTTTTATTTTAAACACAAGCCAGGCAATCGTGTACAGATAAACAATGTTAGCCGTCTACACGCTGCAGCATCACAGACTCCAAATAGTCAACAGTTTACTGAGGGAACTGCAGGACCTGCAAGCAGCACTGCTGACTTTGTAGCAGAAATAGCTAGCTGCTTAAATGTTAATGTAGTTGAGCCATTGAGTTAAATGTTTTTACTTCAATTCATTGTTTTGTGAAAGAGGGTATTATGCCCTATTAGGGAAGACAAATAGATTTTATGTGATTCATTATTCTTTTTCTTACATTTCGAAACAATATAAAAAGAAACGGCATAACATTTAACAGAAAAATAGAAGGAAATCACAATAACTGCATTAAAATGCATCTAGATCAGGCACAGTGAGGCTTATATGAACCCAGCAACAACCCTTTAATGAACTGTTATTTATTAAAATCAGACATCTTCAGACGGTGAAGGCTACAGTCGACTCTGCAGCTTATTGTTCCAGTATAAAGTAAGAGACCGTCAGTGTCTGCATGCTTTAATACCGATAGGTCTCTGGAATAGATTGATATTGTTGTTGTCATTTGGCTTGTTGAGATGTTTTTCTGAGGACTTGGTATTGGACACATTAATAATAAAACCACAGAATGATGATCCATCTATTACAATTTTTAGTAGAGCAAAGTAATCATTACTTCAGCAGAACATTGTGATGATTAATTCATAAGATAATTTGGAGAAAACAGCAAGAAAAAAAGATTTGTGAAGAAACAACTTTGCTTTTCCACTCCCAATGGTTATTGTTAATAATTCATTCTAATGTATAAAACCTGGAAATAGAAATTATACTCTAGTTGTGCTGGCACAAGGGTGGTACACCACAAATATCAAAATATATGAGTGGATATTTGTTGATCTAGCTAGCAGTGAGCTCATCATTCTGTTGTCTTGGTGTCATACTGTTGCTTTTGAAACATCAAATCAAAAATCCAGCATTCATCATTTTAGAGGAGTACTCCAGCGATTTAGTGCTGCACTTAAATGAAGCTGGTGAATTCACAGAATGGTCAAAATGTCCTGACTTTTGTTCCCGAGTCAAGCTCTAAATCGCGGCAGCCTCATTTCCCTTGATGCAACCAAGAGCATCTTTTTTGTTTGACCCTCCCTAACAAGCCGACGCCCATGTCTTTTAAATTCCACACAACCAGTTTATTCCACAAGCTTAATGCTTAAAGAAGACGGAGGGAATTATTCATCTTTTATCACAGGCTGAGAAGTAGGCTACCATTACCATCCTTGCTCTTACAAATGAAAGTTGAAATAATAACCAATAAAACACACCCTTGCCTGATTCAATACAATCAGGAGGTTTTGCTCGATAACAAAGATGATGCACAACAAGCTCCTCCAACGGTTTGAAATGGAAAACACTTTTGTCTCCTAAGTGGGTGTGTCAATAATCATGGTGTGTTTGCCTATCCCCCTATCAATGAAAAAGCATTAATTAGCAACTATTTTGAGTAGGAAACACAAAATAGCATTTAATACTATTTATTTACAACTAAAGCCTCTCATAGTTCATAGCTGCTCAAAGTGCGGCCTGCTGGCCGTTGACGGCACTCAAAAGCTGTATAAGACAAATTATGCTGTTAACAGTTCAGTCACTATAAAACGGCGCTAAAAAAATTGGCTGAAAAATAACATTGGCTATGTTATTTAGCTAGAGGTGTGCAGTATTTATTTGTGGTATAAACTGCATCAAGCATTTAATTCCCAAGCTAACCAATGACTGTTCTTTAAATGCACAATGTTGGCAGACAACAGTTCATCCGTCCATTTCCAGAGAGACCTTTCAGAAGGAGAAATATAATAAAATACAAATAAAATATTTTTTTGGGATTGGGAAAAATCCATTTGAATAAGTTGTGAGGGAAACATTGACACGATTTAAGCTTGTTGGAATGGCTCTGGAAGTACAATCTACAATCTGTTGTGATGTGTTCAAATAACCAAATCAGCCCTTAAGCAAGTCCACGTCAGCTGCAAGCACAGCAGTGCACTGTGGGAATGTGTTGAGACTCATCCACCAATTTACTACGGCCGGGGCGTTGCTGCTCCTGGGCAAAAGTCAGCTAGAGATGAAGCTGTGCTAGAACTGTCCTCCCAGAGGTCAAAAGGTCCACAGTTGTATTGAGGCCAGTGTGTCTGTATGTGCTCGGGTGTGTATGGCAGTTTCCATGCGTTACATCTTTCCCAAGAGGCCATGAAATGTAAGCCAAATCTAGAATATCATTATGGTGCGTGTGCTTATGACTACATAAATACAGGCACGCGTGATAATGTGTGCTGTATCCGAGTGGTGATCTTGGGATGAACATCTATACGGTTTGTGTTGCCTAATATCTGCAAGCACTTCTGTAACATCTATGCATATTTACAAGGCAGAGAATTGTTCCTCTCAACGTGGCGAACAAGGGAATGTTTAAATTCTGAAGGCAACTAATATAAGAAACTGGTCTGATGGCAGAGTGGCAAAAACTATGAACACCATTCAGAAGTTCATTGAGGGAAAACGCATTTTTAAATTCCATTAGCATGGACTTCACCAAGTGCTCAGTGTGACTTTGTGTACATTTTGGTTATTTAAGTCTTTGCGGTTAAATTAACAGATCATCACAGCTAAGCATTTAAAAATAAAACATTGATGTTTTTCCTGTCACATGTAAGTAAACTGATTATTTTATGAGATGAAGACTTGTCTCCCTGTTGAGCTCACTTCTCTTCCACTCGCCTCATCCAGACTTTGTTATTTTAAACACAGAGGATCTCTTTCAAAGCTGAAACATCATACTGGTAACGCTGTCCATCTTCAAAAAAAAACAAAAAAACAAAACAATATCTACTCATTGAAACCCACTTACTTACAAACTTGACCTGCTAACGAAGACCGTTTAAAGCTCCAGAACATGCAAGTAAGCGCTGCTTTCAACTGTCAAGCTAAATAATAATTTGTGTTCGCATTCAAGAACTACATGTCCTGCAAAGGAATGGGCAATATAAATAAAATCCAATAATCATAGAGTGAAATCATTATATATCATAAATCCATTGTACCTGTTCTGAGGAACTGTATATGAATGAAATAACTAGATAGGAAGTTTAATTCAGTAAATTAAATAATACAGCAGAGATACTACATAGTATCTCTGACGGTACACACATTTCTATCATCTCAATATATATTATATCTCCCATCTGAACTCCCGCTATCACTCACCAGAGCTATGACGTGCTCATATTTTACTATCCACTGAAGAAGCAGATTCTCTTTCAGCTTAAAATATGAATAGAAAATCCCAGTGTCATGTTTCAGATTTTTACAAAGGGCAATAAAAGACCCCTTTTTAAAGAAAATACATTCACAACTAAAAGCTAGTGGAACACAAACTAACCCAGAAGTAGTGCAGGACTACGGCTCTACAATGGCTTTCAATTGTTGTTTTCACAGTGACCTCAGGAAAAATTAAAGCACGCTTTTAGTCCTTTTTAAAAACATGTTTGCATGCTGTATGTTGCAAAATTACAATCGGGAATTCAAGTACTTGAACAAATAGTCAATTTTCTTTGCCTGTATTTTAAAATAAATATAAAAAATTAAGAACTGCTACATGGCATCAGTTACAGAATTGGCTTACACAATAGCTGCAGTGAAACACATCGATTCATTTTCAAATTTCCAGTCATTTAAAAAATAAAAACATATGCAGCTTAATGGAACGCAAGAACACAGCTGGGATCATGATATTGTCATTCATTTAGATCGCTCTCATTCAAGCACACATTCAAGCACACATTAAAAACACCACAGCCACCTCCACTTACAGTAGTTTGAATATTGGAAATAAAACAATCACCAAGCATAAAAAAAAAAAATTCAGCGTGATCACACAGGATGTCTGCACCTGCCCTGCAACAACTTTCAAACACGCAGTTAGCCACATCATCCAGTCAAGACAGGCACAGACATCCTGTTTCATCTCCAGATACATAGAGCATAAAAAGCAAAAAATTAAAATAACTTGCATAGCTTTGAAGCGTACAAAAGAAAGGTCAAGGTCCACAGGTGCAAATAGTTTTAAACCATCTTACAGCTGGGTGAGACTCAGTGTTTTAGTGTACATGCATGAACAAAGAATATGTGCACTGTGTGTGTGGAACAGACAGAATGAACAAAAACACAAAAGTTGAGGTTCAAATCACCCCTGTGCAGTGAGTGTGGAGGGCTCATTAAAGGTAAAGAGGCGAGTCGGGATCCTAAGAACAGGTGTAGTGGTTTGAAGAAGGGGTTAGTAAGTTTGTACAGTGATGCATGTGTTCCTCGAGGCGGAGGAGGTGACCCCGCGGGTGGGGCAAGTCTTAGAGGGAGCTCTGGTGAGACTGGAAGTTTTTGATGTTCTTAATCTCCAGCTCCAGCTGTTTGACGCGCACGTCCCTCTGGTTGAGGAGCTCCCTCAACCGTCGGATCTCCTCCTGCTGCTTGTGGAACTTCAGTCGCAGCTGTGGACAAAACGCATGCAGAATATATCAAGGGTGTCATTTCCACTAGAGGCGGGGGAGACATGTACACTTTTTTTTGCTACTTTTAGGCTTCAGATTCAGTTTGATTTACTCAGTAAAATCTCTGTTTTCTCTAACTATCCAGCTGCCATAATCCAGATGTTGATACATTCATCTAGGTCCCCCTTTAATTATTATAGTGTACGCCGCAATACTGAAAGGGTAACTTTGGTATTTTTCAACCCGGACCCTATTTTCACATGTTTTTGTGTTTAAATGAGTAACAGGGACAACGCGTTTTGAAATTGGTTCAGTATTAACGGAGAAATCTGCAGACGGTGTTAACGGGCTGCAGTGTAATCATATCAGCCAGTTCTGTCCACTAAAAGTACTTGTTTTTGCCACCGACAGGCTCAGATTGTTCTTATAAGTGTCTGACAACATTATGAAAATGACCCTACAGAAATGGAAAACATTTTTCTTTACCTTTTGCTTGATCCGGTCTGTTTGTTATTCAGAGCAGTCTTGTTCTTAAATCTCACGTTACATCCACATTGTCAAATTCATCTATTTCTATTAACACTGTTAATAGACTGTACTGTACAGTGTTGTACTGCAACACAAAACCCGCCCCTCCTTTCACTAACTCCACTCACGTTTCCACCCTTGTCCTCTGGCAACAAGTCACATGACACAAAAACAAACAGAAAGCAAAAGGTAAGAAAAGTGTTTTTCTCTATTGCCTTTTCCATAATGTTGTCAGATACTTATAATAACAACCAGAGCATGTCAGTAGCGAAAACAAGCACTATTAGTGGACATAAATTGACGGGGTGCAATTGCCCGATATGATTACATTGCAGCCATTTAGCGTCTGTCGTCTACTGAACCATTTTCAAAAATTGTTGTCCCCATTAGTCACTTAGAAATAAAAACACAGGATGAAAAATACCAAAGTGACCCTTTAAGGGTAAGGCTGATGATATTCTATATTTTTTATATCTCGTGAAAAAACCAAAGCCAACAATTTGTTGGTTAGCACCAAGCCATTGAATCCTATTGAGATGTATAAGTTTAAAAACTGGTCACAAAGATGTACTGTATATTCTATAAACGTTATTTCCTAAAACTGCTGAAAACTTTAGCAAACATCACTCAAACAGGAGTAAATATTTGACTCGAAATACACTACAGAGTCTGTGTTTATTGTAATGAACACACACACACACATACATATATATATATAAATATTGCATGTTTTTAGACTACATTGATCACACAGCAATACAATATATTGGTCGCTAGATACAGAGACAATACCGAAGTAGGAGGATTACTTTAATGTTGGTTTTAGTAAGTTCATGGGATTTATTGTCAATAACAAACATCAGCAGCCTTTCTGAGAAGCAGCTGTGTGTATTGGACTTTTCTTTTACCCAAGTTTTTGCATTTGTCAGGTCGAATGTGATTGGGGGAGCTTGTTTACGCAGCCTGACAGGACCCTACTCAGCCTCCTCTGCATGTGTTTGAGGAAAACATCTTTAAATTCATATTTTTATTTACTGCTGACAGTGCAGTTTTATTATTCCAATGAAAAGATGCCAACTGAACATCAATCAAAGTGATGACTCTAAGATTTTTTTCATTTAAGTTTTAAAGTCTTGTCATACTTCATTCAATTTATTCCATCTTAATTTTATGGTTCTCTGGATATATTTTTCAGGGTTAGTGAATTAACAAGATAGAAATTCAAGCCACATTTCTAATTCTTCCGTTGGACTTAGTTCTATATCATTTCACCATGAAGTGTAATTAGATAGGTTGTAAATAAATAGCATTCGCATGGTTTTTAGACCCATGCCCTTAAAAACAAAACTCGAAGAATGACAAAAATCATCTGGTACCTCATTCTCTGTCCTGGGCGGAGTGCAAAGTGCGAGTTCTTCTCCGTTGCTGACGGGTGTCCGACTCCTGCCGTCCTCTGTATTGCCGCTGTCCTCGCTGCCGTCTTTGGTTCCCACTTGGTCCTGAATGTAAGACAGCTGCAGCATGCCTGGTCTGCTGCGAGACCTGCGAGTGTCCAGCGAGTTTCCCCATCCCTTGCTCATCTCGGAGTACGACTCTGCTACTTGACTTCCAGGCTTAAGAGACATTAGCACCGGACCTGGAGGACAAAGAAAGAGGAGCTGAATGATCCTGAAATGAGAATAAATGTTCTCAGAGATTAACCTTGATGAATTGTCATAAATTAAAACTACCTGACATTACATAAAGAAGTTCAAATCAGTCCTACCTTGACCAGCTACAACGTTTGCTCATGTACTTCGACTTAAAGTGCTGAAGTAAATGATATTCGTACTACTTTCACCACTGGTAAGGAATTATCATAATTACATTAGACACTATAGAACTATGACAGTAGTGACAAAAAATACACCTTTAGTATGGCAAAAAAAACCTTTGAAGTAAAGCAAGAACTCAGAATATAGTATGTGATCTTGATTCCACCGAGCCATACTTGTATTTTCTTTTCTGGTATATTTGAACCCTGATCATGATTCACTTCGGAGCAACTTACCACCAGACCTGTAGACCTCGCCAACATTTATAAATGTGTCACACATACATTAGTTCTGACCTTTATCAATGCCGCTGAGCCATTCCTCTGCAGACAAAGCAGGCTTGTTACCAGCAGTCATTGGATAGATGTCTTCTTGGTATGACTCTGACTAGAAACACATGCACAGTACATTTCAGACAGACGTACTTTTCGCACACCAAATTAGGTCTCATCAGCTTCAAAATGAAGGCATTTCTTTTACATATTTCCTCTGGTGTTTGTGTGAGTGGATGTGCTCTCACCCTGCGGGGTACGATCATTGAGAGAGGCTCAATAAGATTCTTGATTGTCACCAGTTTGTAGAACCTGAACACTTCACAGGAGCTCACATCCAGACCTCTCTTTGGCATCACACCTGAAGGAAGACACACAATTTTACTCTGTTGTATAGGAAACCCACTTTTTCTGCAGCACTACTGTGCTATAATATACTTATATTATTGAGCGTTAAGAAAAATTACTTTACACTGAAAGTGTGCATGACTGACGGAGATAAGGTAGACAAAACACAACTGCAAATAAGATTTAGTGTAATCACATTATGGCTTGAAAAGAAAGAGATTAATGCTATTAACTTTGCAATATGCAAAAGTGTACGAAAGCCCTTCGACCGGCGCACATGTATGTTCATATTGCAATGGAAAAATCAAAAAGTGTCAATGCAGGATCATACCCGCCCACAGCACAGCACCATGTTCAGTAAAAAAAATGATTGGCTTTTTAACACCCACCTTAATTAAAATAAATAGATATTTTCTGTTCATTCGACCTTTACGATGACTTTGGCATTTATTTCCTTACATTTTCTGGACTGCTTTCAAGTTTCAAGTTCTTAATTGTCATATGCCCAAAACTACAGAAAAGCCATCATTGGCAGTGAAAATCTTAGATCTCAGGCTCAAATATGTGAAAAAAAACAAGCAAGTAAAAAAACGAAATAATCTAAAACACAAAGTAGTGGAAGTTAAGGGAAACACTATATTTTTAAAGTTTCAGTTAAAACAGGACTTTAATTCAGAACATTACCTCAAAGGCTGAAAATGAGTCTAATATAAGCAGTTTCATATAGAAACTATGGTTGTAAGAACCCGGCAACATTTGGAAGTAGAATCTGAACTACTTCCATTTAACTATATCCTTGTTTTGCCTCTAAACGAGCCTGACTGCGTGTCACTTCACGTGATCTGCGACTTCACCTCGATCAGCCGGTTTGGCTATTCAAATATTGCAGGCTTATTTGCACAGCAGCTTTGCTTACAGTTGAAAGAGAGTCACCACGACCAGAAGGCAGGCAGAGTTTCCAAACAGCCATATTTTAGTAAGTAAATTGTTAAATCCAACATTTTGGAGACTGATTAAAAAACATAGTCCCAGTGTGTGTGTGTGTGTGTGTGTATTTCTTACCCATTCCTTTCTGAGGTAGGTTTGACCGGTACTCTGTTAGATAGTAGATATATGGTTTTTCTGAGCTGATCTCATAGTACCTCATATTTCCGTCACCCTGACAGAGACAAGAGAAGACTTTGTAACAATAATATGAAAAGTATTTTGTGTATAAAGACGTTCTAGTTGCTTTCAGAGACCCACCTTCCCAGCAAGGTACAGCATGTGTGTGTCTGGGTCGTAGAAAGGAAAGATGAGTCCTGACGAACCATCCAGGTTCTCTTGTGACAAAGGCACAGACAGATCGTCCTACAAACACACACCAGGATCAAAAAACAAACACTTCAGCACCAGCAACATGGACAACATTCCCTCATATCAAAAAAACACTCAATCATTTAAATCCACTTCTACATGAAAAGCACTCTCCGGCACTGAATAAAAAAACAGAGTACTTAGTCCCTAATCCCTGTTTTGGCTTTAATCTTCCACCCACGATACACTCTCACAAATCAAGACACACCAATGTCCACCGGTTTGTCCACTAGATGGCAGAGTTGTGTTTGTGAGAGAGTGAGCATTGCATTAGCCTCACTGCATCAACCTCAGGGATCACACGTTTGTATTTGGGGTTTTTTACACTCCAAGTATCTGATCCATACATGAGACCATTTGAAACAAATTATGATAAATCAATGATTTGTTGAAAACCCTTTCCCAAAGGGTTTGTTCAAAAGGTTCCACTTTCCTCACCTTTTTCTCTTAACATTTCCTTTCTATACTCATCTCAATATTCAACCGTCCTTTTTTCTTTTATCCTGAATCTTTACTACTCAGAGGTTTTAATGACGTGAGACAGGAAATAGGGCCGTCTAGACTCGTGACATCTCTGCCAAATATGAAATATTATGAATTCTCTACTATTGGGATTATTCCTATTTCTGGGTCTTTGCTCTCATCATTTTCTTGACATTTTCTTTTTCTTCTTATGTGGATTGTCTACATGCACTGTAGTTAAGGCATCTCTGTATATCACTATTTATTGTTGTTAAATTTAATCAATCTAGAATTACAGCCTCTTAGTTGTGTGCCACCGCCAAACAGGGAAGTTGCAGTTTATATTCATGTCTGTCTAAAATGTCATAATTTTATCCAGTTAACTATTTGTTACTATTACTACTATTTTGATTATCTATTAATCAAAATAGTTACTTTTCAAGTAAAAATGTCAAACATTCGCCGATTATCCAACAGTAAACTAAACATCTTGGACTGTTGATCGAATACAACAAGATATTTGAATACAAACTCAAAGGTCCAACTTTAATCTTTTTCAGAGCGTCAGACTGCATCTCATGGTCTGTATCAGTGAGTGGAGCTGGTTCAGGCGTCACCACATGACCGAAATGTGGAACTCCAGTCACCTGATAACAATTGATTGTATGCGTCATCACATAACAGAAACGCCACATATTGAAACCAGATCCAGCTGACCATGATTAAGACCGTGAAATGTGCATTAAAGCGCAGAAAAAGCTAAGTTTTTGGACCTTTAAGGTGAGGTGATTCTGTCACAAAATACTTCCTGTGCTATAATTTGCTCTCACCTGATCCCACAGAGCAAACTGTCGGTCATTGTAACGTGAAGTGCCCGATGTGAAGAGCATCTTCATGTTGCCCAGGAACAGCACCTTGCTGGCTTTGTGTGTCTTGCAGTTGGATTCCTGCAAACACAACAGGCATACTAAACACTTGATGTCTTTACATTACATTACATTACATTACAGCACTGTGATGTAATGTTTCTTATGTTTCCAGGTGAGCTTGTTTAGCAGGCCAAAGTAGCGAGAGCGGACTGATACAAAGTGTGTGAGTCAGTGGCTGGTGACCCACAGGTCTGTGGAGCTATGCCATGGGCCTGCTCTGGCCAGAGGTGTCAGTTTTGGCTGTGTGGTGCTGGATGAGTGCCTGGGCTGGGAAGAGGGAACGAGGCAGGAACTCCCACTTATGCAATATTGGCTGAGATGCTATTGTACAAGACATCTAAGGCTTGTGCTTTTTAGGTTTTATTGATTTTCACTGAAAAAAAATATCTCGATTTTTCCAGAGGAACATATTCATTTAACTGATTTTCCTTCAGATTTGATGTCACCATTTATCCAAAATTGTGTTTTCACCCCCCAAAAGACCTGCAGTTTGTTCATTGCAGTTTAAACTACATGAGGTTCTTTTACGAAGAGTGCATCTAAAAAAAGCTTCCAGTCAAAGTTTGAGAGAAAAGGTGAATGAGCTGCTGATAATGCAACAGAGTCCTTAAAACCTATTTAAAAAACAAGAAATGCTTCAGCTAAAAATAGTTTGTGCTAAAAATATGTTATATTTAAAAAATATATTTTTGTATTTCTTTTATATGTGCTTTTTATACATTTTTTAAATATCTGAAATAAACACATAAATTCCTGTGTTTGTTGAAAAATAAATAAATAATATTATCCCCAACTACAGGTTTTCTTTACAGTTATTTAGATGAACTGGTACATAGCATAGTAACTACCTTTAAAATTAGAGCACTCAAATTTAACTACAGAATTATCTGAAAACAGGAAAAGACAACACACACACACACACCTGCAGTAGGTTTCCTGAGCGCGGCTCTATGAGTCGGACCTTCCTGTCCTTGCAGGTGGTGGCAAAGAGGCTCCCCTCTGTGTTGAAAGACATGGAGAGGACGACGTCTGTGTGGTGGCTGATTGTCCGTACGGGGTTTTTTATCACTTGCTCAGGACAGTCCAGGTTCCAGATCATCACCTGGAGGTGTAAATTACACACCGTGTAAATACACACGCGCACAGAAATTCAACAATCAACAACAAGTTTGGAGAGAAACTCAGTTTTTGTACTTGAGACTTGGCTTCGAAATTTTGTGGGAAATAAACGTATCGATTCGAACATTCATACTGACAATAGCTTTTATCCACTAAAAAGTCTAAAATATATTTTTTATTTTATGTAATAGTGCTTCAGGACTCTTATTGGTTCTGACTTCACTCGGTTCTCTATATTAAAAGCTGGCTACATGTGAAGCAAACTGGTTTGTATGAAGTGATGTCTGATTACATCTAAAAGAAAACGTGTTTACTGCTGTTCGCACAGTCAAAAGTGGGGCGACTTGGTATTATTTAATTATACTTAATACAGATCAGCAACAATCAGCAGGTTGCGTCGTCATAGTGAGTAATCTCGATCATGATATATGAACAAGAACTGGGCTGCTTGTGACCTGTTTGGCTGCATGGTAATACATATTACGTAATAGCTTGTAGTTTTATGTGGCTGTGTTAGGGTTAGTGTGTGTGTTACCTGGTAGTCATAGCCCGTACTGAAGAGGATGTTGTTAGCGGTCGGGTGCCACTCAATGAGGCCCACTCTGCGGCTGTGACCCTGAAGCTCCTTCCAGGCTGCTGTGAGGTTCTTCAGCACACCATGAGGAGGGATTTCCCACACTTTCACCTGTAGACACACACAGGAAACCACGTAAACAAACACACAATGTATCTAAGAACACATTTTTTGACAAAGACTTGTGCATACAAAACATATGAAGAACTTATAAAACATGATGTATAAAACATTTCATGGTTCCTGATTCTGAAATGTGAAGATCTTCTGCTTTTCCTTTGAATTGTTTTACTTTTGGGTTCTGGGCTGCATTGCACACTATCTTTTAGAATTGTTACCTACTAAACATTCAATCTATTGCTTGAAAAAATAATCAGCAACAATGTTTACTGAGGTAACAAATCAATTGAGAAGTTGGGTCATTTTCTTATCGACTTCTGTACAATCTGAGTTCATTTTGCAAACAGAGGAGTCGCCCTCTGACGGCCGTTTGAAAGAATGCAAGTTCAAGGTACTTCCTCAATGGCTTCACTTTTCAGACCCAAAAGGTTGCTGCGTGGTGTAACAATTGTTTCACAGTGTGGTATTAGCACTTTTACTTGAGTAAAGACTCTGAATACTTTCTCCACCTCTGCAAACACACACACTCACACACACACAAAACAAACACTCTGCTCGTAATACCTCTAAATCTATGAAAAGTTGGAATGACTTCTAGTTGTTCTTGAAAATGAAAAGAAAATGATCTCCCTGCTGCTACATGTTCATAACGCAGGGAAATGATAGCACATCAGTGAACCATTTTGAAAATGTACTTTGTGTGTGTACAAACCGTGGTGTCCTCGGAGCAGGAGGCGATGCAGTAGTCGTTGAAGGGATTCCATTTGACGTCTAACACGTTGCCTCTGTGGCCCGATATTCGGGGGTGCTGAGGATCCACTTTACCCGTCTGATATACAAACAGACAAAAAAAACGTTAACTATGTAGCTAGTTAGCTTAGCATAAAGACTGGAAGCAGGGGGAAACAGCTAGCCTGGCTCTCTTCAAATTCATGTTAAAATCTGTCTACTGATTAACGCGTTAGATCTAATTTGTTGTGGGCCATTAAATCAAAAATGAGATAAAACACGCTGAAAGGTCCCGTGGAGATCAGGGGAACTGCAGAGTCTGATGCAAATTATCTGAGGTTTTATCATGTTGTCATTTATTGTTAAAATAAAACTCAATCAATTTAGCATTGCACTCCTATAAAGTTGTCAGATTTATGGTGGACAGTTTGAAAAAAAAAAAAAAAGGATTTTAAAAACAGAGATATCTTACGTTGCCTACATTACCCACAATGCAACTCAATCACTACCAGTTTGGGTGGAGATGTGGGTGTGTTATAATAGTAGCGGCTAATGTAGCCTCAAACTGCAAGCCTCAAGCAAAGATGAGGAGCGGGTCAAAGAGGTCTGGTAAAAGATTTGTCGTTTTCAGACCAAACCAAGGCATCAGACATCTTTATACAACTTTTTCCACATATGCAGTTGTACTTCCAAAGTCCTGTAAGCTGACTAGTGAAATTGAAACTTCCCCTTTCATATAAACATATTGGTTCGAGCAGCTTTAAAGATAGCCGGATGAAATATACAACAGGTCCAGTTGATCTGTGCAGGTTGGTGAAAGTGTCCCAGCTTGCCTTGCAGTCAGACTCCTCTTGACATTAACATGAAACCCCTTAAACGGAAGGTGGAATGGCACAAAACGTTTGGGACACACGCCCTGGTTTTCCATGATCCTGTTACAAGAGTCTTGAAGATTTTCTGCCTCAACAAGACTGCTAATTATGCTGTTTGTACAAACAGAACAATCCCTCTACCGACACACTCCCACCTGCAGGCTAGATTACTGTGCAGGTAAGGTGTGTGTGTGTGGAACATGGGAATGATGTAACAAGTATCTGTGCTTTCCTGCAAAGCTGACGCATGCACAAGTGAGTAAACCATAGCATTTATGTTCAACGCGTTAACTACTTTCTCCACAGAACAATACCTTATCTGTGAGTGCACACACATGGACGGGAGGTAGACTGTATATAATAAGAGGTGAAGGGCAGCAGACGTGGGACTTTTCACCTCCTTGAGACAGTTAAAGGAGGAGAAGAGGGGGGTCAAAAGATGAGTTATTTCATTCCCAAGCTCGTATGCAGTTCCTGCCCATGTCAGGAGGGTGGTGATAACTCACCGAGACGATTTAAAAGATGGAGAGAGGGAAAAAGGAGGGAGAGGTGTTCAGCTTGATGAATGGCTCTGGACTAGAGATATACAGCAGGACCGTAAATCTAACCGGCACACGAGTGAGGAAGTCTGGCTCAGTTTACTTGAAAGATCCCTATTGTTACTGATAACACCAGTGGATGTGATAATGTGCATAAATAACGTCTGGGAGAGTATTTGATTGATCACATTTAAGGTGAAGTTTGTGAGTGAGATAAGATAGAATAATGAGGAGGAAAATAAAGACCACATGTAATGTTTAGGTTGGAGTGAAAAAGTTGCCGGGGGTTTCCTGGTATTTGGAGATTTTGTTTTGGCTCCAGTGCCGACGTCCTATTTATAATCTGACAGCAGAGCTGTCTTTTCCAGGTGTGTTGTGTGTGCAGGAGCAAAGAGGGAAACAATGGGAGGCATTGAAGTCAGCAGATGAACCCAATAAAATTAATTTTTCAAAAAAAAAATATATATAAGAAAAAAAATCTGCTCTTCCTAATCACTTCTGATGTGAATTTACATCTTTTGTAAACTGTCCAGCTTTTTGGTTGAAGCCAACTTCAGTTATGAGTCCAATTTGTCATGTTGATTTTCCCAGTTTCTCCTGTTGTGTGCCTGCTAGGTAGCTAGCTGGAAGAAACCTTAAGCATCATGCTCATTGGCAACAGTATTAACCATCTTTTTACGCTGAGCAAAATAATAACTATGAGGAACTACAAGGATCATAAGTAATTCTTTCTTCTTTTTTGTTTGCAGAGATGTTGTTCAGGATGTCAAATCTTTCTACAATGCTTTTTGAACAGTAGCCGCAGTGATTTTCTCCGGCCAGTATAATCAGACTGAATTGTCATTTTATTTCACTTAATTATTAGTCTGACTGACATTATGTTGACGTTAGCTGATTATTCTGTTTCGTTTTGCTTTAACCAGTTATGAGTGATGCATCTCCTTGATATGAGGATTTAGGAGTTCATTATTAGCCATGCAACAACATGTACAGTTGTTATTCTTGATGCTATTTTTCATTTATGTCGCTACATTTAAGTATGTCAATCTTTTATGAATGTAGAAAAGTTGAGTTGTGTTTTAGAGTGAGAACACTTTTGAGGGGCATTTCAAGTGTAGAGCTGTGGACAGGATGCAAAGTTACACGTTTACATACATTTTATATGCAAGAAGTTCTTGCCTGACTAATGTTTCACCACTGCACCTTTCAAAATAATGTGTGTCCAGTACAACGCCCCCCACCACAACCTCAAACTGCGTAAGCTGTGTACACAACATCATTAAATAATGAAAAAAAGATGGAGATTCAGAGGTCTGGAGCCAGGCCTTTTCCCCCTTGTAGGAAGATAAATTGTCTCTCATCAGAGTACATATCAACAAAACATATCACAGTATCCACCATCAACATCCGGAGAGAAACGGTGCACATGCCACTTTAAAAAGCTGACATCAGTCTGTAAAATCTGCCATGAGATGGGAGATACTCACATGATGGATAGGCAGCACCAGGAAGGCCCCTCCCCCGGCACACTCAGTGATGACTGCCAGGAAACGTGGGTTGACGGCACAGAAGTTGTTGTCCTGTACGCTGCATGTGATTGGCACGCCATCATAGCAGCTCTCCTTGGTGGCAGCCTTACCGAACACGTGGCGGAACTTGGAGCTGCGGTACTGAGGACGCCATGTCATCTGAGGGAAGAGGATG